GTTAACATCTGTCAACCCTTTATCAGTGCCTATTTCATTACAGACCAATTCAGACTTCATTGGTCACCCCGTGCCCTTATAAATCTCAACGTTCATCCTACAAAGTCCCATCACAAGGGAGAAACACAAACAAATAAGACATTACAAAATTTGCCCGTATCGAAACGGTTGTATACCGTATATGGACCTGAAAACTCAATTTCCTTAATAAAAGACGACTTGGACGCACTTGTCTTGAGATGGTTTCTTTATTAAGGAGTCACGTGCTTACACTCGAACAGGCGGAGACCCCACTGCAACAGCCCGGAGCCTCCCGCGCATCTTAGATACGGTCCAAGGTCACGCCCCGATTCCCGAACCTTCTCTCTGATTCTAGACGCTCGCTCCACCAGCAGACTCCACCATATTCTTCTGTCACCTGGCCACGCGCTTATTCTCGATTATTCCCGTAGCCACCAGTCCCTTCGTATTGCAAGCTGACTCCCATGTCATTACCTCCCGTGGCCACTAGCCCATTCGCACTTGAGGCTGACTCCTCTGTCATTACCTCCCGTGGCCACTAGTCCATTCGCACTGCAGGCTGACTCCCCTGTCATTACCTCCCGTGGCCACTAGTCTACTCACGCTGTCAGTTGACTCCCCTGTCATTACCTCCCGTGGCCACTAGTTCACTCACGTCGGCGGTTGACTCTTACTGTCATTACCTCCCGTGGCCACTAGTCCACTCGCACCGAAGGCTGACTCCCCTGTTATTGCCTCCCGTGGCCACTAGTCCACTAGCACCCAAAGCTGACTCCCCTGTCATTACTTCCCGTGGCCACTAGTCCACTCGCACCGAAGGCTGACTCCCCTGTCATTACCTCCCGTGGCCACTAGTCCATTCGCACTGCAGGCTGACTCCCCTGTCATTAACTCCCGTGGCCACTAGTCTATTCGCACTGCAGGATGACTCCCCTGTCATTACCTCCCGTGGCCACTAGTCCACTCACGCCATAGGCTGACTCCCCTGTCATTACCTCCCGTGGCCACTAGTCCACTCGCACCGAAGGCTGACTCCCCTGTCATTACCTCCCGTGGCCACTAGTCCACTCTCACTGCAGGCTGACTCCCCTGTCATTACCTCCTGTGGCCACTAGTCCATTCGCACTGCAGGCTGACTCCCCTGTCATTACCTCCCGTGACCACTAGTCCACTCACGCCGAAGGCTGACTCCCTTGTCATTACCTCCCGTGCCCACTAGTCCATTCGCACTGCAGGCTGACTCCCCTGTCATTACCTCCCATGGCCACTAGACCACTCACGCCGTAGGCTGACTCCCCTGTTATTACCTCCCGTGGCCACTAGTCCACTCACGCCGTAGGCTGACTCCCCTGTCATTACCTCCCGTGGCCACTAGTCCACTCACGCCGTAGGCTGACTCCCCTGTTATTACCTCCCGTGGCCACTAGTCCACTCACGCCATAGGCTGACTCCCCTGTTATTACCTCCCGTGGCCACTAGTCCACTCGCACCGAAGGCTGACTCCCCTGTCATTACCTCCCGTGGCCACTAGTCCACTCTCACTGCAGGCTGACTCCCCTGTCATTACCTCCTGTGGCCACTAGTCCATTCGCACTGCAGGCTGACTCCCCTGTCATTACCTCCCGTGACCACTAGTCCACTCACGCCGAAGGCTGACTCCCTTGTCATTACCTCCCGTGCCCACTAGTCCATTCGCACTGCAGGCTGACTCCCCTGTCATTACCTCCCATGGCCACTAGTCCACTCACGCCGTAGGCTGACTCCCCTGTTATTACCTCCCGTGGCCACTAGTCCACTCACGCCGTAGGCTGACTCCCCTGTCATTACCTCCCGTGGCCACTAGTCCACTCACGCCGTAGGCTGACTCCCCTGTTATTACCTCCCGTGGCCACTAGTCCACTCACGCCATAGGCTGACTCCCCTGTTATTACCTCCCGTGGCCACTAGTCCACTCACGCCGTAGGCTGACTCCCCTGTTATTACCTCCCGTGGCCACTAGTCCACTCACACTGCAGGCTGACTCCCCTGTCATTACCTCCCGTGGCCACTAGTCTACTCACGCCATAGGCTGACTCCACGGTCATTACCTCCCGTGGCCACTAGTCCAGTCACGCCGTAGGCTGACTCTTACTGTCATTACATCTGTACAAGGATACGGGGTAAACCGTATGGGTTGACAGCTATAACATCATGTGACCTCCTTTGACAGTATCAAAATATAAGAAATAGGTTTCACCCTTTCTGGCAATAAAACAGTTGTGTTAAGATCTTGACTTAAAGCTTTCGTGAATGCAGGAATGTTAAGATGTTTAAACACCAAACTGAACCCTTTTGCAAGGAATCGTGTTTTCGTGCTGTTCGCCTTTTGGCGTTGTCCTCTGGTCTAACGCTGTTTGAGACTAGGCTCTAAAGAAAGCTGTCTCTGCTGTGGACCAATCAGTTTAAAGACAATGCATGGTCATCATATACCGTCAGAGCATGTGTGTTCACGTTCACCACAAGTATGTGTGGTCAGTGCAGACACGATTCCTCGTAAAAAGGTTTCAGTTTGGTGTTTTAACATCTCAACACAACTATTTTGTTGCCATGCAAAAGGCTAAGGGGCCGTCCATAAATGACGTCACGCGATTTTTGACGATTTTTGACCCCCCCCTCGTCACACGGCGTCACAAAAAGTCAGACCCCCCCCCTCAAATATGACGTCACAAAGCTCTGCGCCCCCCCCCAAAAAAAATTCAAATCGCTTTAAACTATTGTCATTGCAGTGCGTATTTAATGTGGCGCTGCACTCTGATGTTGTAGGATAAAACATTTATTTTAAAAAAGTCTATTTAATTAAGTAGAACGTGTTGTCTATATTTATTTAAAGTTGCGCATTTTGATATGACGTCACATTTCTCAAACCCCCCCCCCTCGTCACACATCGTCACAAATGTCTGACCCTCCCCCCCCCTAGGTGTGTGACATCATTTATGGACGGCCCCTAAACAACTATTCTTATAGCTACGACATCTCGCCACCGCGGCGACCACTGCAGCGAGTCCAGTTGTTTTCTTGCGCTCACTTTAATGTTTGGGAGTCGGAACAAATCGAGGCCTGGCAGCTGCGAGGTGGTAATGTTGCTGTTGTCGCTGTGATGATGTCACGCACGTAACACGATGACGGTGATGTCACGCGAGTAACACGATGACGTCGATGTCACGCGAGTAACACGATGACGGCGATGTCACGCGAGTAACACGATGACGACGATGTCACGCGAGTAACACGATGACGGCGATGTCACGCGAGTAACACGATTACGGCGATGTCACGCGTGTAACACGATGACGATTCTGTCACGCGTGTAACACGATGACGGTGATGATGTCACGCGAGTAGCACCACGGTGATGTCACGCAAGTAGCACGATGACGTCAAAAGACAAAGATCCCCCCGCCTTGTAGCATTTAACAGACTATGACGTCGACTTTCGCGACCAATATCCATTAAAACAACAATATTATTGACTTTAACAGGCTGTTGGGGGCAAGTGCCGGCACCTATTGAGGGCCGGCACTGTGACACACGAGATGGGGTTGGGGTGGCCAGTAACCACGCCCGGCCGCCTTTGTCTCCCCCGTGACGGGGAAGATAAAGGCGTACAAACATTGGAGGAAGGGCCTTTGCTATTGATGCCCCCAGGGTCTGGAATGCTATTGCCAATAAACTGCAACTTTAATCACTACCTATGAGATCTTCACTCAAAACTGCTCTAGAGGAGTTGTACACCCCTAGCTGCCACTGCTATTCAGTGGCGTAAAATAAAATAAAATGTTTCGCTCCGGATGACCGCTGCAAAGTATTATCTGCATTTTTATTTAGTTTGCTGATCTTAAAGGTGCATTTAAAAATGTGATACTCCGACTGATGCTCCTGTTGTTGTGGAGTGACTCATGTAGCCAGCTATGGCTCTCGGGTTTGGTGTTACATGTTATGTCGTTTATACTGGTAGGAAACGTAGTGGACTGGTAGCCCAACCGGGATTAATTCACAGGAGGCAGGGGATTAATTGTGTATGTCTGTGGATGTCTGTCCACGTCGGAGGGGTGGGGCTGGGTGGAGAGGGGAGGGTGGGGAGGGGCTGGGTGGGGAGGGGCTGGGTGAGGAGGGGCTGAGTGGGGGGTGGGAGGGGTGGGGCTGGGTGGGGTGGGGCTGGGTGGGGAGGGGAGGGTAGGGAGGGGCTGGGTGGGGAGGGGCTGGGTGGGGCTGGGTGGGGGGTGGGAGGGGTGGGGCTGGGTGGGGTGGGGCTGGGTGGGGAGGGGCTGGTCACCCCGTGGTGCCCTTATATGGACTGGAAGCCCAACCGGGATTAATTCTCACAGGAGGCAGGGGATTATAACACTGCACTTTCTGGTGCGACCTCTTGTACACTGCAACTTTCAGGCGTCGTTTTATAATTCTGCTCATTTTTAATTTTTCTTTCTTCTGCGCACGACCCTAACAAGTTTGGCTTAAATATCCGTACATAATTACTTCATAATTACTTCAAAATTTCCTACCAGCCCCCTCCGCAGGAATGTGTTTGTGAAAATTCGGTCACAGTTCCTATGATCACTGTTACATTGCTTTTATGGCTTTATTTTTGGTGATGTCGAAAACGTTTCTTGGTTTGGTTGTTGTTTGACTTGCATCCCACTGGGATTTTTGCACACAGCATTGGTGTACGGTGCTTTTTCAGGAATATTTTGCTGTTTTTTTCATGGATTTTCTGTTTGCACAGTCACATAGTCACTTTAAGATGTTTTCCTTGATAGTGTTTTTGTTTTTTTGTTTGTTCAAGAGCCGAATGGCTCACAGGGCTATACCAAATAAATGAAACTGAAAACTGACGATGCTTACACGCCGCGCCAATGTACTTATTTGAGGCTGAGTCGACCTAGGCGAGGCACCCACTACCCGGCTCAGATAATCGTCACCGGCGTCGGCCGCGAGCTGGAATCGAACTCGCGGGGTCGCGGCGCGCTAACCGCTGCGCCACCGCTCCACGCGCGATTACGTCACGCACTTGGCGCACCTGCGTCGGCGAAGTCGCTTCAAGCAGCCAATGGGACGCGGCGTTAATGGCGGAGACGCGGCCAATCGGCGCGGCTCTTGATAAAACCCGTCGCTATGGTGACGGCAACAGCGTTGCCTGCAGCCGCTGCGAGTTCTCGGTAACCACACTCATTCACTACACTCACTAGTTACACTCACTAGTCACTAGTTACACTCACTAGTCACTAGTTACACTCACTAGTCACTAGCTACACTTACTAGTCACTCACTACACTCACTAGTCACTCACTACACTCACTAGCTACTAGTTACACTCACTCACTAATCACTCAGTACACTCACTAGTTACACTCACTACACTCACTAGTCACTAGTTACACTCACTAGTCACTCACTACACTCACTAGTCACTCACTACACTCACTAGTCACTCACTACAATCACTAGCTACCAGTTACACTCACTCACCAATCACTTAATACACTCACTAGTTACACTCACTACACTCACTAGTCACTAGTTACACTCACTAGTCACTAGCTACACTTACTAGTCACTCACTACACTCACTAGTCACTAGCTACACTCACTCTCTAGGTACACTCACTAGTCACTAGCTACACTCACTAGCTACTAGTTACACTCACTACACTCACTAGTCACTAGCTACACTCACTCACTAGTCACTCACTACACTCACTAGTCACTAGATACACACCTGTGTGTGCCACAGAGACCTGCACTATCACCTGTGTGTGACGCAGAGACCTGCACCATCACCTGTGTGTGACGCAGAGACCTGCACCATCACCTGTGTGTGACACAGAGACCTGCACCATCACCTGTGTTCGCCACAGAGACCTGCACCATCACCTGTGTGTGACGCAGAGACCTGCACCATCACCTGTGTGTGACACAGAGACCTGCACCATCACCTGTGTTCGCCACAGAGACCTGCACCATCACCTGTGTGTGACGCAGAGACCTGCACCATCCCCTGTGTGTCACGCAGAGACCTGCACCATCACCTGTGTGTGACGCAGAGACCTGCGCCGTCACCTGTGTGTGACACAGAGACCTGCACCATCACCTGTGTGTGACACAGAGACCTGCACCATCACCTGTGTTCGCCACAGAGACCTGCACCATCACCTGTGTGTGACACAGAGACCTGCACCATCACCTGTGTGTGACGCAGAGACCTGCGCCGTCACCTGTGTGTGACACAGAGACCTGCACCATCACCTGTGTGTGACGCAGAGACCTGCACCATCACCTGTGTGTGACGCAGAGACCTGCACCATCACCTGTGTGTAACCATGAAGAAGTTGCCACCAAGTCTGAGCAAGGACTCCAGAGGGAAACAATCGTGAGTCGTCGCCTCCTCCTTTGCAGCCAGTGCGTGGGTGCACACCGCGGGTGTATGCACGTGTGTTCGTGTCTGCACGTGTGTTTGTGTCTGCACGTGTGTTTGTGTCTGTGCACGTGTGTTTGTGTCTGTGCACGTGTGTTTGCGTCTGTGCAAGTGTGTTTTTGTTGTTGTACGGCATGTGTGTATGTCTTATGACCCAATTACAGTACTGCACCTGGAATGCACCCAATGTCATCAGATCTAAGAAGCCAAGCAGAGTTGAGCCTGGAGAATGCTTGGGTGGGTGAATAATACCATATCGTAAAAACAACGGGTGTTTAAAGGCTGCTGGGCAGGCTAAATTGTCGGCAGCCCTGTGATAACCACTGTGCCACTACACCCTTAATCAGTGCACAGCTAAACATTCCCCCAGCACAATTTTAAAAGGACTTGCTGAAGCTAGATCACTCAAAGGCAATCCTGCGAAAATTCATTCTTTAACCGTAGCTGCCAGTCATCTCAGTCAACCTGTAACATCCGGGCCTGCTCCGTGACCTGTCGGCGAGACGTCCACACTTCACACGATAGCCTCATAGTGTACGTAGCCTGGCACAAGCGCTGCAGTGGCATTGCCATCGTGTCTACTCTGCGCTATGTGTGTGTGCGCACTCTGTGTGTGCACGCGCGCGCGGTGTGTGTGTGCGCGCTCTGTGTGTGTGCGTGTGCGCGCACTTTGTGTGTGTGCGCAGTGGCTCTACGTTCGTCGGGATGAGCCAGCGCAGGGGGGTGACACTGGGAGCACGGGGCGCCTCCTCGCTGGCCGTCGTCCCCCGCGTGGGCACGCGCAGCGCCACGACGCGCAGCATCCTCACGTCGTCGAGCCGGCGCAGCTTGGGAGCAGGGCCCGCGGAGGGCCGAGCGGGGGGAGCCGCGCTGGGAGGACTCCGGCCCTCCGTGCTGGTCAGAGCCACACTCCCGTTGAGTCAAAGTAACGGCGGAACACAGGAGACGTTCAGTCACGGCGATCGCACTTTGCCACCAATAACTCTGGAGATGAGATCGCCAGTTATGTAGATGGCAAGAACTAGCACGTAGGCTTTTTTTACGACCAATATTATCCATAAGAGGTGTTTTTTTTGGGTTAGATCACGTAAATATAAACGTGTCTAAATTTCGATTTAAAGCTTTCGTGACTGCAGGGATTCGTATTCTTGGTTTATTCGGTAAAGTCACGTAGAAGGGACATAATAAAATAATAAAACAATAAAATTATCCCGACATTTCGATTGCAACACAAGCAATCATCAGGTGTGAAACCCACACATTGCTTGTGTTGCAATCGAAACGTCGTGAGAATTGTATTGTTTTATTTTTATTATTTTATTATTTCCCTTCTACGTGACTTTACCGAAAGAACCAAGAATATGAATATAAACGTGTCGTTAACCCGCCACCACCAATTCTGGCAAATCGCCTGATGAAGCTGGTTGTAATCACCAGCAAAACATCGCACTCAAATTGTAAATGTTGTTGGGTTTACTCTCCAACACACCGGTGTACTGAAGTAGACACTCTCATTGGCACGTTTTATTTACGTGACAAACCTCACTAATTGGCTGGGTCTAAGAGGACGTCGGGTAGGTACGGGATGGATTGTTGCCATGCAGAATTGCGACAGATGGCGACAACTTGCTGAAGGAGGCCTTCATCAAGTGGTGGATTGACCATGGTTGATAATGATGTGAGAGATATGGTCCAAACGGATGTTCTCCGCACACTTATGTTTGCTGAACCTTTCCATGGGCTTTGTATTACTGTAGTACACGTGTTAACCCAGGGAAGCCTCGCTTAGCCTCATGACTCTTTCAGCAAGGTCCTAACAAGTTTTGTCACAATGTGGGGAGATTATTGTCATCGGTTTGATCTTCCATGAAGCTCATGGTCCACCCTAAGGCGCATCCGCACAAACCATGGCAGATACGGATACCTGGTGCACAAATTCAAAATGCTAAATTCTCCAGTCGTGTGCGACTGTGGTCATCCAGAACGGACCGTAGTATAACACAATAGCCATGCAAGGTCCGATCCATGACTATGAAGGAGACATTACAGCAATACACTCCACTGCTCCTAACACGGTTATCTGGCTTGATTACCTGAATTAAAAATTGTAGTTGTTGCTCTGCATCTACATCAGCCATACGAAAGAAGAATAAGATTGCTATGTATAATTCCCAATTGAGTAATTTGCCGGTCATATTTCGACTTTGGAACATGATGCTGGCACACAATGGCCTCCCCTTTTTGAATGACAGCACAGGATCATTAACATCCACTGTGAAACAAACGGCGCGTATTTTTTTCACAGCCAATACACCCACTGTAAAGACCAAGGCCGGCCTGCTGGATGCAAACAATGTACCTCTGCAACAAGCGCACCTCCGATTAGCACGGTTGGCTACGTGTCGTGCGAAAGAAGTTTAACGTACATACGTGGTGCCAGTGGCAAACGCCCTACCACAGGGACCACGTGACCGCCCCGATAGCAATGCTGTTCGTGTGTGTACCCCGCAGGTGCTGGATGAGAACGGGTGCGACGTGACCCCGCGGCCTCTCTTCACCCCAGAGCAGGGCAAGGCGAGCCGTGGAGCCGGCGTAGGGGATGCAGCGGGGGGCCCATCTGGCGGGGGGGGCTCCGCCTCGGACATGCTGTCCTCCTACTCCTTCTACCAGACTGCCGTGCACACCGCCAGCATGGCCGGGCAGTTCACCAGGTGCCGCGTCGGGGAAACTGCAGCACGCGGAGTTGGCCGTGCGGCAAGGCAGAGAGGCACACCAGGCCACCCGGAGCCACGGAGTCTCTTTTGCTCAATTGAGCCATGGGCTGGCACTCGTCTCCATTGGCAGTGATGTAAATTCCACGTTCCCATGGAGGGGGGCTCCGTCCTCTCCTTATTAGGACTCATCAGTACAGTATAGCCATCGTTGCCTACTGCTGCCACTGGTGCCTGAGGCATGCATGTTGCCCTGCTGCATAAATTACGGATGCCACAGTCTCGGTTCTTTTTATATTTTTGTCATCACAAGGCTGAATGCAGATCATGCACAAGAATGGCGATGTCACCTTGACATGCAAAGCATGCTGGGGTTCCTGTTATGTTTTCTCTCCAGGACACCTTGTGTTTAATCGCTTGTTTCCAGTCTACATGCATCTTGGTGTTTGTTTTTGCAGCACACACGCGTATACGTAGCTGTATACCAGGACGCGTGCAGAAAACATGAAGCCTGCACAAAGCGTGTGCTCTGTTTTTGTCTGCGCTGCTTGTGCACAGATCCACTTTTGGCAGCAGCCTCTCGGTCTCTGCCCACTCCAGTCTGGATTCCCTGACAGATGAGATCGCAGAACCAAGCGTCCAAAATGACTACAGCAGCTTAGCAGGTACCCAGGCGCACATGGGCACTTGTCTTAGAGGCACGTCATGACTCAACCCGCGACCAAAGACCACGCCACACCTCGGCGATTGGAAAAATATCGGGGTCGGGATTTGTTTTAAGAATCAATTATTGCGTCCCATTTGTGTTGTGTCTTATTTTTCCATATAGTTTACTTTATTCACTCCGTTATTATATATGTGTAAAGTTACGGTGTAATTTTTATAACAATTTTTTAGACGTAATCAACTCACACACACAATTAGGTGTATAATTGCTCAAAATATTGTAACGTGTGCTTGAGAATCGATTGTTATTGATGCATCGATGTGTCGTTAAACGTGTAATGTTTTACCTGAACAGGATAAACCCATGAGAACATGACCCCGTGGTGGCACACGCAACATTCGTAACACCTTTTTTGTTTATACGCGCGTACTACTACGACGCATACACAGATTTACTTGAATGCGGTTATCTGTTTTGCTCATTTCTGCTCGAATGTGAATCTGAATTCTCGTCTCAGAGATGCAGAATCGGGGGGAAGAAGAGGGGCCAGAGGTGCTGGGAGAGGCAGAGCTGAATCGCATCGTCACCCTGTGGCTGTCTGAAACCCCGACGATGGAGATAATGGACATGACCTCAGTGTCTGTGTCCACACAAGACAGCCAGGCAGAGGCTATCAGGTAATTAACTAACAAAACTCAACTTTATATTTTACAAGCCGAGGCCCACTCAGCTGTGTGGCTCTTTTTCAGAAGCGACCTGGCCACAAATGATAGCTCAACGAAGTCAGAACCAGAATATTGTTTTCATACTGAAGGAATCCGATGAGCTATGAAGCTCTTTTTCACAGATGTCCAGTAGGGGCCGGTCAGAAAGTTACAACAACAAACAATACAAAAATACAATAGGAGTGCAAAGCCTAGGAAATTATTTACGTGGAAGTTTATAGCAGCCAAATACTCTAAGCGCATGTTTTTAAATGTGGAGGGAAAAACCAGAGAACCCGGAGAAATATCCACGCGACCACGGGGAGAACGTGCAAACTCGACCTCCTGCATACCAGGCGAGGTAGGTAACATCTCCTAGCCACCGGGACACCCACTCGGCACAGGGAAGCAATTGTCATGATCAAAACTCAAATCGACCAGTTGTCAAACGAGCATTGGGCAATGCGCTGAGCTTGTTATGAAGGCCTGAAGCCAGAAATGCCATCCTCCCATAAATCAAGAGTCATTGTTGAATTTCTACAAGGCACGAGAGCAATTTATAAACTTCGGAAGAATGATAGGCCGACTAATTTATATTCCTGGAGTAAATAGGCAATCTCACGCTCAGCCTGGTGTTCACGGATCATCACGCTCGCAGATGTAGACGATGCCTATCCAGGGGGTCCTGGCTAGGAGCGACGGGTCGTGACACCTGGAGGAACATTTGAAACGGCCCCATTGATGGCTCATCAACGACTACTGCGTAACAACGTCTCGGTGCGCCGTGTCGTGTGTGTGGAATGTCAGGCAGCGTAACCAGACGTACAAGCATCTGTGCTCGAGCCGCATGGGGAACGAGCGCTACATGGAGCGCGGCGCGCAGACACTCAACCTGCAGCGGAAGAGCAAGGAAGTGCAGTGTGACAGGATCGTGACCGCCGATGCAGGTGTCAACTGGGTGCCACACGGTGGCTAGGAGATGTTAACTACCTCGCCTGGTATACAGGAGGGCGTGGGTTCGATCCCGACCTTGACGCCTGCTGTGTATTTGGAGTTTGTGTGTCTCTCTCATCATCATCATCATGGTGGCTAGGAGATGTTAACTACCTCGCCTGGTATACAGGAGGGCGTGGGTTCGATCCTGACCCTGACGCCTGCTGTGTATTTGGAGTTTGTGTGTCTCTCTCATCATCATCATCATCATCACGGTGGCTAGGAGATGTTAACTACCTCGCCTGGTATACAGGAGGGCGTGGGTTCGATCCCGACCCTGACGCCTGCTGTGTATTTGGAGTTTGTTTGTCTCTCTCATCATCATCATCACGGTGGCTAGGAGATGTTAACTAACTTGCCTGGTATACAGGAGGGCGTGAGTTCGATCCCGACCCTGACGCCTGCTGTGTATTTGGAGTTTGCGTGTCTCTCTCTCACCATCATAGTGATGTCATCAGGATAGAGGGCATAACGATGACTTTACATACTCACGTAAGATAGCCCATAAAACGCATCCTTGGTATGTGATTTAATAATTCGTCATACAAACAAGAACATCTGTAAAAAAGCTGACTTAATCTATTTCTATAAAATTTGGTAATTATTGTTGAACAGCAATATCATTTTAAATGAACATTCACCCTTCGTTGTAGCACCAAGTCACGTCACAGGCTTTTTGATTACTCCCTCGCGGCTACCATATAATGACACACCCGTACGCTTTTGCCCACTTCAGGTATTTTTGCCAGCACGTGGGACATGCATGACACGTTAAGCGAATTGGAGGCCTCCAAGTCAGCAACCGGTAAAGCAGAGAGCCCAGGCCAGCCCGGCTCGTCAACAAGTCTCGCAGCAAGCCAGCGCTTCGCACCAGGCACCGACATCACTGCAAGCTCCATGGGCACAGGCGAGTAGCTGCATTCATGTATATAATGCTCTTTTAATGCATATATTCCATGTATGTTGAACTCCTTTCGCACCGTACGTCGCCAACCGTGTTAATCGGAGGTGCGTAGGAAGGACAACAAACTAAACACGAAACATATTAGGGATGTGCTGGCAGCTTCTTCAAGAACATGCTAACTGAAGAAGCTCCCAGCACGTGGAGCGAAACGTCAGACGTCGCACCAAACACACGGTACAACCCGCAAACGGATCAGGCGGCTCCCAAAGTGGCATTTGTGCGACCGCCCACCATGTGAGCTATGTGTGTGCGATATGGTTGCAGTTAGCGCTACGCTGCGCTAGGAACCCGACGACCCAAGTTTGATTCCCGCTCACGGCCAACACCAGTGACGATTATCTAAACTGGGCCTGGGCCTCCCCAAGGTCGACTGAGCCTCAAATGAGTACCTGGTGCGGCACGTAAACATTGCCACGAGCGAGAGAAAGGCTGCTGGGGGTGATGCTGGCCACCAAACCGCTCGTGTGCCTTGCCGGCCTTCATAGGCGCTCGCTAACAGCAACTTTCCCCAACAGCCCGATAACGGCTACACGGGGGGGGGGGATTTCTCTCTTTATTTTTGTAGACAGCAAGCGCAGCCTCTCCTCCAGCACTGCCCAGGGCTCCGAGAGTGCCCTGGGCTTGGCGCCGCTCCTGGCCGAGCCGAGCGGTGCTCCTCCATCGGACGCCATCCTGGGCTCCCCGTCTTTCCAACGAGACCTGGCCACCATGGAGCGCGTGCTCGTCGCAAACCTCTATCAGCACAAGATGGCTGCCTATCGCCAGCTGCCTGTGCTGCCAGGTGGGTGGTGGAGAGTCAGGATCGGAATCGCAATGTTTATTCTTTGCTGGAGGAATCCGATTGAGCTATAAAGCTCTATTTGTCAAAAATGTACGAGTCGGGGCAGGTCAGAACGTTTCAACAACAGACAATATTAAAAAAAAAAACACGATAGGAGTGCTAAGTGTAGGAAAGATAAACAAATTACTTACACAAATATAAGGTTTTTTTCCTCTTACCAGGTAAGGCCCACTGAGCTATTAGCTTCTATTTCAGAAGCGACCTGGCCACGAGGGCCAGTCAGAGCAACCGGACGTAACGTCATCGTCGTCTTCTCCTCTCACCAACGACGGGTTCACGCTCATCGCTCACCGCCCGGATGCACAGCCCACATTCTTAGCGACAAACGTGGCATTCGATTTTGTGTTGCATTTTATTTCTTCTTGTTATTGGCTCAAGTCACACGATCCCCGATAACCGATATTATGATGTTGCTTTAATATTTCTGCTGCTACAATGAGTCGGTTGAGCTACGTATCATTTGTAGCCAGATCGCTTCTGAAAAATAAGTTCATACCTCCATAGGTTTTGCCTGGTAGGATGTGGATGGTTTAGTGTTGTATTTGTTTGTGTTTGGGTGCTTTGTTTACCTTTGTATTTTGCACTACCATCGTGTTTGTTGTACTGTTTGTTGTTGTAACGTTCTTATCCGCCCCTACTGGACATCTGTGAAAATAATCGTCATAGCTCATCGGTTTCCTCCGGTATCAATATTATAATTCTGATTCCGGTTTGTTACGTGCTGTGCAGATCCTGATGGGGTTACGGAAGACGAAGAGGGAGCCCCGGAGGAAGAGAAGGCAATGGGGGGGCAAGAGAGGATACCCCGGGGAAACGTGGGGATGGAGGTCGGCCCGAAGACGCTGCCCGGAAGCAGCGCGCAGATTCCCGCGGTGGTGCATGGCGGGGGGGGCCCCTTCCTGCAGCGACTCTGGGCCTTCTCATGCGGCTTGACCAAGGGCCGAAATGTCAGCTGCCTGGCCTGGAACCGGCTCAACCCGGTGAGGTGCACACGTTGGTGTGCACGCACACGCACGCACGTGCACACGAACAACTCGATACACTGTGGTGGTAACTGTTGTCCTTCCCCCGTGCCTCCGATTAGCACGGTGGGCTACGTATGGCGCGAAAGAAGTTCAACATACATACATACAACCGCACTATCGGAAGGGGAGTAATGCCCTTGGCAAATAGACTGGATAATTAATGGCAACGCCTCATGGCAGAGGATCAATTTGACAAACTGGAAGCCAAATTGCCACATTTGCCAAATAGATGTAACCATATTCTCCGGATTATCAGATGCTCTCGAAAGTAAGTCTCACCCTAAACCTATAGCCGATGTCAAGCTATACAATCTGGTCACACATACATACACAAGTACAATATTAAAAGACACGCCCCGAACGTTTGCTTTAAAATTCAGGGGGAAAACTGTGTTATAATCCGGAGAATACCAAAATCGATGTTGGAATTATTTTTACTGCTTTTCAGTTGCCGCTGATCGGATCATTGGGGGGGGGGGGTGGGGGGGGTGGGGGGGGTATTGATGCCCCATGTCAGTGACGTGAACACTGAACCATTGCTCCCGAAAACTGTGATCATCTTAATTAATGAAAACATAAAGAATGTGAATGAAGGGCATTTTAACCCTGGCTTTTAAACAATCAGAAGCTACACGACCAGTCGGGCTGCTTAAGGATGGCTTATGCGTACGCGGGTGTGTGCTCTTTTGCGTGGTGCGTGTACACATTTAGGACCTGCTGGCCGTGGGCTATGGGGAGTTTGGGATCCGAGACCAGAAGGAGGGGCTGGCCTGTGGCTGGTCACTCAAGAATCCCACGGTGAGGCTTCCGACCCCTTCACGTACTTTGAAACCAGCCTTCACGGTTTATTATGAAGTGTTGCAAGGGATTGGGGTTTTAAAACGATGGGCAAGCGTCTGTTTCAGAGCCTGAGAGTGTCCCTGTGCATGTCTACGTTGAATTTCTTTTGCACCGTACGTAGCCAACCGTGCTAATCGGAGGTACGGGGGGAAGGACAACAAACTAAACACAAAAGAGTGCTTCTAAAGAAACGAGTTTTCAAAAGTGTAATGTAATAACATTACATTTTAGTCCATTATCCTTTGCACATTCTGGATCAATATTTTCTGGTCGAATTTATTTTAGCAGACAAACTGTTAAATTGGAATTATTTACCGGAATATATTGAATAATTTAGTAAACGAGGCAATCAAGTTGGCCTCAAGATCAATATGAGTGAAACAAAAGTCGCGCCTAACAATTCTACTCAATATGTTGTAAAGACACAACGAAGTTAAGTTTTTCAAAAGCACTCCGCCCTACTCTCGTTCACCTAACTTAATTACTTTGATCACAATCCACCTTCAATAGTGGCCCTAGGTATACCTCCTAAGTAATGTTTTACAGTGGCATATGACTCTAGCAGTCAGCATCACTTTATTGACCGGGACTGTTTCACTCCCTATGACTCGTCTCATATTTGCACACACTGAATGTGCCCCATCGCTTCTCCCCGTGCCAGTGGCCGGACAAAGTGTTTCACATGGAGTCGGGAGTGACGTGCATCGATTTCTCCGCGGCAAACGCAAACCTGCTGGCAGTGGGGACGCTGGATGGAACAGTCGCCGTTCACAACACCCGGGGAGGGGCTAAGGAGCTTCCCTCTCTCACCAGCAGGTCAGAGCTTCATGCCATTCGTCCGTCCAGGAAAGCCTCACTGAGTCTCAAGCCACTCCTTAAAGGGGGGGGGGGGTCCTGCATTGGGATGTTTGGCTAATTCTGTGTTGTTAAGGCATTGCTCTGCATGCGGGAGGGAGACGGAGTGACCCAGAGAAAAAGACTCGAGCGTACGAGGGGATTCCACTCCAAGTGGCACACAGAACGATTCAAGAAGCCAATTTCTGCACTGCTTCCTCTTGGCCACCTTGCAGTAGGGCAGATTTGGGCATTTAACAAATCTGCGATCCACCAACCCTTGCTTCCAAACCACAGGGGTGTGCCACAATGCCCGGTTGCTTAACGTGGCCTTAAAGTGCACATAGCTTGGCACAAGCGCCGTGGTGACATCACCGCCACACAGTGGCGAATGGCGGTCGTTGTTGTTGGCTGCTTAATGCCTCAGCATAATTTCAGTTATTCTTTCCTAAAAACTGTAACAGTGGAATAGGACTGTGGATGTCATTATTGTTTTGAATTCTGCACGTAAGAAGCAATTGTTTTTTTCATTCATACATACGCCATGGTGGAGTGGTGGGGCAGTGGTTGACGCACTGAATTTTTAACCGGGCGACCAGACTCGGATTCGCTGCCACGGCTAACTGGTTCTCTGCCTTTACCAGCCTTTACTGACCATTGTGGTGAAGTATGGTCAAACACACCCCCAGAACTGTACGTATGTGTGATTAACTTCTTTCGCACCATACGTAGCCAACCGCGCTAATCGGACACGCCATGGGGAGGCTTTCATCCATCAGGGAATTTACAAACGTCTGAAAATTATTATCATGGTTACATACTGCATGTTATTAGTTCTTGTAAATGATGCAGCCACTGTAAACTCCACATACACCACTGGAGCCAACTGAGACTTCAAGGATTACTTCTCATGCGAATTGCTGAACGTGTGAATGGCATCACATCCCAATGCACGGCCTGGCTCTTGAAAATATTCTTGAGACTCAAGGAGGTTTTCCTGAATTCATAAACATATTACTGGGGGTGTAACGATTCATCCGTTAACGTGCGTGTGAAAATCTATTTTTTTTTTATCACATACGTTGTAATTGGGTCGCGTGACCCCTGCAGCCACTCGAGGCGCGACATTCACAGGCTTTAAAAAAAAATGTGAGTGCAATCGCAAACTCGAATGGAGGCAATTCAGCAAATCGCAAGCAGGGTGAACGTTCACGTTCAAGGTGAATGCTCTGATGATGGCACGATTGTGGTGAACAGTGCAATTTGAGTGCACTCTTCCCCGATCCAAATATGTGCTTCGGATTGAGTAGCAGGAGACCTCGTTGACAAAACCCCCTCATTTTATTTCGGTTTTGCACTCGATTTATCAAGATTATAGCTCTGAGAATTTAAATCTTCGATTTGACTGCCACGCAACGATCCCATTGCAATGCATAGAAAGTGCGCCCCCTACTGTGTAACTCTAAAAAGGGCACTTAAATTATGATTTGGTAAATGTCCTGTAAAAATATCAATTCTGCAACTATTCTATGACACATGGGGTGCACTGCTCTAACATTTTCTCATCGGATTCTGTGTCTCAAGGCATTGTTGCCAATAGCACACGGGAATAACGCGAAACTAAACTATTGTTTATTTTACCAGGTGAGTCCCACTGAGCTACGTAGCTCTTTTACAGAAGCGACCTGGCCACAAATGGCAGCTCGACGAAGTGGCTTATCAGGTGGGAATTTATAGCAGCAGCCAAATACTCTAAACGCGTGTTTCTAAAGGCGGAGGAGAAAACCGGAGGTCCCGGTGAATAATTTCACGCGACCACGGGGAAAACATGCAAATTCCAAACATACAAGCGTCAGGATTGGGATCGAACCCACGACCTCCGACATACCAGGCGAGGGGCTTAACATCTCTCCACCGTGGCAATACTGAGGGAGCAACACCCAAACTATGAACAAAATAAACGTTGCTTGATTCCAAGAGGCTGAACTTACGTGTGCATTTGGATGCCGTCTCTCAGCGAGTCGGGCAAACACATGGGTGCAGTGTGGCAGGTGCAGTGGGTGAGGCTCGAGCAAGGAGGAGGTGGGGAGGACCGCGGGGAGACCCTCACATCCATCTCAGCTGACGGTCGTGTCACCCGCTGGGCCGTCCGCAAAGGCCTTGACTGCCAGGGTGAGACGCGCGCACGCACACACGGCGGTATCGTGTGGCGTGCGCGCGTGTGGAATTATCGCTATGAGTTGAGCAGCGGTCTTTGCAGTTGTGTTGTAACGCGCAGTTCAACCTAATGTCTAACACACGCGTCAGATCTGATGAGGCTGAAGCGGACTGGGGAAGGCCGGACTCGACGAACTGCAGGCGTTGAGGGACAGAGGGGACGTAAGAATGAGGCGCTCATTTGGAGACTGGCTTGTGGAACCTGCGTCGACTTCCATCCTCAGGTACGCATGCCTTAATTGAATCCAGTTCAATAGCTAAGCTATTATTTATTTATTTCACCACATAAGGCCCATTGTATAAATTTATGGCAGCCAAGTACTCTAAACGCGTGGTGATGTTGATTCTAAATGTGGAGGGAAAAACCAGAGGACCCAGAAAAAAAATCCACGCGACCACGGGGAGAGAGACGCAAACTCCACATATACAGGTGTCAGGGTTGGGATCCAACCTGCGACCTCTTGTATACGAGGCGAGGTAGTTAACAATCAGTGGTCATCATCACCACTGAGGCCACCACGCCTCACCATCACTCTCCTCCTCATGCCAGTTATGCAACCGGATATTTCGTTGAAGAACCCTATTGTTGATGAATCCAAGCAATGCAGTCGAGCGACTTGCACATTGAAGCGTCTGTGTGTACGCGTGTACGCGTGCTCACCTGCGCACGTTCATCTCTGCGTGTGCTCGCGCTCATATGCTCACGTGCAGGACAGCAACGTGTACCTGGCCGGCACGGAGGAGGGCTTCATCCACAGGTGCTCGTGCTCCTACAGCGAGCAGCACCTGCAAAGCTACTCCGCTCACCAGGCGAGGCATACGTACCCACAATCCCACACGCAGGGCTGCGCACGGCTGTCATTTGCTGTGTCTGCTGCGATCTCTCAAGTTCCATTGCTCTTCTCTCGTTGCACATTTCAACTTTTTTTTTATCCGCGCGAAATATTCATTGGCGTACGACGTGAAGCGCTTCAAGATATTTTCTCTATTGCGCACGATAAATAAAACATCTTAATTTTTGTTTCGTGACAAAGTAATTGTCAGTGACATCATGGTGCGCATTTTGCTATCTGACATCATATTTTGCCGTGTGACATCACAATGGTTATTGTCCTCTGTGATCGTAGTGTGCTATTCTCTATGCCGTGACTGTGCAGAAACAGTCATGGCATAGACTGTGTCACGACTGTTACATGTTTCATTTCAAGTAAAACACCGATTTTATTCTGGGTGGCGACATGGCCCAGCGGTAACACGTTCGCCACTTGTTGCAGAGGTCCGCGGTTCAAATCCAGCGGGGCCACCCTGGTTATATTACTGTGGACGTATTAGTACTGCGTGCCATCAGCTACACGTTGGACGGTCAAAATCCCGTGACATCATTCGCAAGAGGAGGCCATTGCGTCCCACTGGCGTCAAGGCCCCGCAAATCACTCAGTTAAAATAGACGCAGCAATCATCGTCCCCTACTGCAACAACTTGGCAGGACCTTCCTATACAAGTCATACGGCACTCGGTGAACACAAGTGGAGTAGTAATAATAATAATAAATGATGAGCTGCATTTCTCCGGGCATTAAGCAATCAGACCCAAGCCGTGCAGATCCGTTCCTGAGAAGGCCAAGCCCAACTCGGGTTTCTCTCCAGCCATTGGCTCGACCCTCCCTTCTGCCCCCTCCTCACCATGACAGCGGAGAAGTGATCAGAATTTAAGGTTCAATGTATGTTTGGGTTCGTTTATGTTATCCCAAGTTTTTTTTATACGTTACTTTTGAGATTTTTTCCGCATTCACTTTTTTTACATTGAAAACGGGGATCCGAAGTTGACCTACGCGACAGACGCCGTTGGCAACTTACATCTTCCCCATCGTGATTTATTTTATACCGAAATAACCAAAGAGTAAACATGCATGTTGAACTTCTTTCGCACAGTACGTAGCCAACCGTACTAACCAGAGGTGCAGTTGGCTAAATCGCCGTGTGACGTCCGTGTGTACAGGGCCCAGTCTACCGCGTGCTGTGGTCTCCCTTCGAGCCGGAAGTCTTCCTGAGCTGCTCCTCCGACTGGAGCGTGCGGCTGTGGAGGGTGGACCTGACGTCCCCCGTGCTCACCCTGCAGTGCGGCAGTCAGGCTGTGCTGGACGTCGCCTGGTCCCCCCATAGCCCCACACTCCTGGCTGCGCTCACCGCAGAGGCTCTGCATGTGTGGGACCTGTCCAGCAGCACGTACGTCAGGCTGCGTGCACGCCGCAGTGGCCGAGATGTTAACTACCTCGCCTGTTATACAGGTCGTGGTGCAATCCCGAGGCCTGTATATTTGGAGTTTGTAAGTCTCTCTCCGCATGGTTGCGTTTTTTCCTCCACATTTAGAAAACATGCATTTTGAGTATTGGCTGCTATAAATTTCCACGTAATAAGCCACTTCCTTGAGGTATGAATTGTGGTGAGGTATGAATTGTGGTGAAAAATAGCTACATAGCTCAGTGGGACTTACACCTGGTAAAATACAAAAAGGTTAAGTTGAGTTTTTATATCTATAAAAATGTTTATTTCCTGCTAAAATGACCATTGGAGCAGTGGTCATGTTCTCTTTACAATGCTGATCCAGTGGTGTAAATTCCACATTGCAATGGATGGGGTGAGTATCTATTTGTGCATCACTGGGCATGCAATAAGTACATTTCCCTTTCTATCGCAATATTACCCTGTTTGAATGTTTGGACATATAACTGTTAAGCACTGGCAGCCACTCTTACTGGACATCTGTGAAAAAAGAGCTTCCTAGCCCATCGGATTCCTCCAGTACAAATAAAGATTCCGATTCAATCAGGTTTGGGGTGAAGCAAAGCGAGCGGAGTAAAGTGGTCTGACATTTCTTACGTCACAATCACGTGACGATTTAAACCATCGTCCTTTATCATGTGACTCCACGTGGCCCTAATGCTTAGTTCCAAGCGCCCTTGGGCTGAACCTGCATTGGAAGTCAAAGTGGTCGCAACAGTGCATGGCCACAGTTTGCAACAGGTTGTGCCGCGGCATTTCGGGATTATAAGAAAACCTGACCGTTGGAAAGCTGGGACGGACGAACTGTCCACGCCGTTCAGTGGCCGATCGAGCCTCCCCTCGCCATTGGCCGCTGCACGGTACGGCAGCAGACAGCCGTCAAGTGTCCATCCCCCGGCCTTCTCAACTCCTGAAGATTTAGCAAGCTCGACAAAGTGTGAGGGCCGTGGAATATGAAACAAAATGCTTAGCGAGCACTGCAATTCCAACAGCAGTGCCGTTGCGATCGTGAAAGCGCGCCGGCTCTGTTGTTGCCGGGTGCGCGCGTGCAGGCTGGACCCCGTGCTGGTGAGCCCAGGTCGGCGCGGGGTGCACATGACGCGCGTGGCGTTCTCCCGCGCGCCCGGCCACTGCCTGCTGGTCGGGGACAGCGACGGGCACGTGACGCTCTATCAGCTCAAGGGGCTGCTGCAAACCAAGGTGCGCTCGCCACGGCCGGGTGAAGTTTCATCGGGTCCTGGGCCTGTTTTCATTCTGACGGGGGGCCCCCTCTCCTATATATGTCCACTCCCTTCCCTTGACTATATTAACCCAACCCTTGCCCGATGCCAAACACTCCATTATTGTTTAGATGTAATATACATATTGGAAAGTTAAATCAAAGTAAAAAAAAACACCTAAAATATTTTAATTTCAGCAAATAATGATGCTATGGCTTTCATTATCACATTAGCTATCATAGCTGTAGCCAAAACACCACTCGGATCAATTCTGGTAGATCTTAACGCACCTGCACGATCCACCAGCGAAGTGTAACCCTAAAAGTACGGTTGCAGGGCATCGCGTCGATTAGGTTCACAGTAGAATGGAATCTGATTTTAGCCAACGTCAGCAGCAGGCCATGATGCCAAGGAGTGCGAAAGGCGGCAGCGGAGAGGTCAGTCGTTGCTGTGCCAGTTTTCTGTTGATGCTAGAAACTAGCCGCTATGAGGGTGGTGAAGGCAACGATCTGTTCGCAGCAGCTATGGCCGGTTCGGGATTCTCGCTCGTTCGGGAGGCAGTTAGGGGTCGATAATTGGGGGAAAGTCGAGCAAGCAAAGGCACGATCCATCAGCTTGGAGGTGGGCAACAAGAGGGACAGCCATGACCAACAATTACCCCGATGGATTTAACCCTGTACGGTAATATACTCTACATACATGGGCATACCAAGTACTCGCACCATATATTGATAGAAGTTATGCTTTTGATTTAAAGCTTTCGTGACTGCAGTGATTCATATTCTTGGTTCTTTCGGTAAAGTCACGTTGAAGGGAAATAAAATAATACCGAAAGAACTAAGAATAAGAAGTCATGCTGTTTTAATGTATGGATTCTTGGGGACTTTTAATTGGCCATCAGCCATCACGAAAATTTCCGTCTGCTTATGATAGCGTATGTGCCGATTTATCCTGAGATCTACAAAGATATTTTGCGATCCACCCATGAATCGCGATCCACGTATTGGCCACCACTGACCTACTGGGTATATCCCCGTGCTGCAGAATTGTCAACTGGTATAAAGCAGATGTTTTGTGGACCGCTCAAAATCCAGGGCCCTGAACTGCAGCCCCCTGCTGCCCCTGGTGACTGTATATGTACAATTTTTTTCACTTTATTCATAAAATTCAAGATAAAATAATGGGCAGTGCCACCTGTTCCCGAGTTCGGGGCTTCCTGACTCCAGGGCGGTGCAGCGCGTTCCTGAGAGATGTTGAAGGATCCTGAGAGATGTTGAAGGATGCTGAGACACGCACCGCGTCGCCCTCTACCCTGACCGTGCATCGATCCTGAGAGATGTTGAAGGATCCTGAGAGATGTTGAAGGATGCTGAGACACGCACCGCGTCGCCCTCTACCCTGACCGTGCATCGATCCTGAGAGATGTTGAAGGATCCTGAGAGATGTTGAAGGATGCTGAGACACGCACCGTGTCACCCTCTATCCTGACCGTGCATGTCTCGACATCTTAAGGCGTGAAAATAATGTTTAGCCAAGGTGGGGAGTAGGACACCAGTTGGGGGGATGGTTTGACATAGAAAGGACGTAGATTTATTTATCCCACTCAGGTCAACATATGCACAACAGCTATAAACAAGTTTAAATTTGTAATTAATACCTTTTCAAAGGAGAAGTTTTTCATCAGTAAAGAAATGTCCATAATACAGGTTGACTCTCCAATGAGTGACACTTTTTCATAATAGATTAAATTTGTATGTATTATACGTTTTTTTAGTACAAAGAATGTTAGAAATAAAAATAAATTGGTGTGACATCAAACGTGCAGTGTGCAAATATGTGACCGTGTGTGTCTATGGATGTTTGTGCTTTGTGGTTTCACTTCACGTGGCCTCAACGAGCACATAGCCTGGAACAAGCGCCGTGGTGACGTCACCGCCACTTAGTGGCGAATGGCGGTTGTTGTGTTCTTTGTTTTTACGCATGCCTCTGGTTCTGTGTCTGTGGATGTCCTTGTCTGTGAGTGCAGAAGGTGGCACTCTCGGATGTGATCAGTACCATACTGACCTCCCAGAGCGAGCAAACAGCAGCGATGGGGGAAACGTCTTGAACCAACCGGACTGCATCATACGTCGTGACGTTATGCCCTGTGGCAGCTTGTCATTCCACTTTGGCTGGGGCCTGGACTTTGACTCAACATTGCCAGAAATTATTTACAATGAATCCTAGAGTCAGAGTCTATGCCACGCGTGCAATCTCAAGTCACCTACTGACCACTTTTACTCAGCCTACCTTGTCAATCCCATCCATGTTGACTTTACTGGACTTCACCCAAGCTCGCCTGACAAAGTCTACACAAGTCTAACAACGTTCTATTGTTCACATATCCCACCTGACGCAGCAGATCCATGAGAAATACCCTCAGGACGTAACTGGAAGCCATAACTGGCCCGGTGCGCGTGTTGTACAATGTTTCCTTTCTCGTCCGTTTGTGCAAGCGTGCCGATGTCTCCGTCGCCAACAGCGGGGGGACAATGACCAAGAGGGGTGCCGAGTTCCCACCGTCTCAACAAGAAGTGAATCTCACCCGTCGGGTTTAACGCCGCCACCTGAGAGTAACAACTGGAGCTCGAGTTTCATCATCTCACTCGGTACAAAACCAAACGTGCGCTCTCATCCCCATCTCTGCATGCATCATTTCTTGAATGCGTCATTGCTGCCGCTTGAAACAGAATGGGCTAATGGAGGTTAAGGGGAGGCAGAGTGTGGAACGAGTCGTAAGGGGGATGATGGGAAAAGTGGCACGCTTGGGTTTTCTGTTCACTTTTTTTCTGAAATAAAGTGGTTGAAATAACAAAAAAAATGGCTTTGGAAAATTGACTACACAGGTAAGAAATGCACTGGTAGATGTTTGAGTATAGTGCAACAATGGCTTTTGCTACACTGCCACCTGCTGCCCACAAGGTAGCCCAACAGCCTATAGCACACCTAAGTGTGGTGGTCGTCTACCCAAGATCCAGGCTTAGCCTGCTTCACTTGCGAGATCGGGAACATTCCGGGTGATCAAAATACCCAACTCTATAGGCCACAATCCACTGCGGTACACCATCACACCAAAACCCTATCAAACCATACCCACACCATAATGCACACCACCCCACACCATTATACAACACCACAACAACATGACATGACAACACTACCATACTACCACAACGAGGAGTTTCACAACATTTGTGAGCTCCGCCAACCCTCACTTGAGATGATTATAACAATAAGTTTTGTTAGCATTGAACATTTGATTTTGCCAACCTGTCCACGTAACACAACCAGAACAGCTTACGATCTGCGACCGAGGAGACGTCATGTTAACGTCCGCTCATTTACAATGTCACCAATGGGTAATCTTCATGCAGTCGTCGACCCTGGGAGCCTGCAGGTTCTCAAAGTGCCGTCGAAGCAACTCCAGGGACGCCAGATCTCGACCGCGCGCCCGCCGCTCCTTCTGCAGCTCTTCACGCGTCCGCCCCAGCTCGGCCTGCAGTTCCGCCAGCGAGGATTTGTAGCGCAGCTCCATCGTCCCGTGCAGCTCGGCCTCCTTCAGCAAAAACTCCTGCGACGCTTTTTGCAGCTGCGATTTAATTTCTTGTTTCCGCGCCCTCAGCTGCTGCTGCTGCAGCCGCGCCGAGTGAAGGTCCCTGCGGCCCTGTGACGCCTGGCGCTGCGTTGCACTCACAACCTTCACAAGCAAACACAACCTGAACTACACTCACAACCTTCACAAGCAAACACAACCTGCATTACACTCACAACCTTCACAAGCAAACAACCTGCACTACACTCACAACCTGCACTACACTCACAACCTTCACAAGCAAACACAACCTGCGTTACACTCACAACCTGCACTACACACACAACCTGAACTACACTCACAACCTGAACTACACTCACAACCTTCACAAGCAAACACAACCTGCGTTACACTCACAACCTTCACAAGCAAACAACCTGCACTACACTCACAACCTGCACTACACTCACAACCTGCACTACACTCACAAGCTTCACAAGCAAACAACCTGCACTACACTCACAACCTGCACTACACTCACAACCTTCACAAACAACCTGCACTACACTCACAACCTTCACAAGCAAACAACCTGCACTACACTCACAACCTTCACAAACAACCTGCACGACACTCACAACCTTCACTACACTCACAACCTTCACTACACTCACAACCTGCACTACACTCACAACCTGCACTACACTCACAACCTTCACAAGCAAACAATCTGCACTACACTCACAAACTTCACAAGCAAACAACCTGCACTACACTCACAACCTTCACTACACTCACAACCTTCACAAGCAAACAACCTGCACTACACTCACAACCTTCACAAGCAAACAACCTGCACTACACTCACAACCTTCACTACACGCACAACCTTCACAAACAACCTGCACTACACTCACAACCTTCACAAACAACCTGCACTACACTCACAACCTTCACAAACAACCTGCACTACACTCACAACCTGCACTACACTCACAACCTGCACTACACTCACAACCTTCACAAGCAAACAACCTGCACTACACTCACAACCTTCACAAGCAAACAACCTGCACTACACTCACAACCTTCACAAACAACCTGCACTACACTCACAACCTTCACAAACAACCTGCACTACACTCACAACCTTCACTACACTCACAATCTGCACTACACTCACAACCTTCACAAGCAAACAACCTGCACTACACTCACAACCTTCACAAGCAAACAATCTGCACTACACTCACAACCTTCACAAGCAAACAACCTGCACTACACTCACAACCTTCACAAATAACCTGCGTTACACTCGCAACCTTCACAAGCAAACAACCTTACATTACAGTTGTGAGCAGATTCACGCAAAAATTCCCCAAGCATTAACGTTTGCAAACCAACCTATGTTGATGCTTTGAGATACTAACCTTTACTAAGTATGTTTTATATTCCGATTCGCACGGTTGGCTACGTACGCCACGAAAGACATTCAACATACTTATATATAAAATTACTTTCCCATATTTAATCTTACTTCAGTATACAGGGACTCTTCTACTTACAAACGAGTTAGGTTCCAGAGGTCTGTTCGTAAGTGTTCTTAAGTTCAACTTTACTCCTGTCGATTCCCAACATGTTGCACGGCGTGTGCACTAAACACGGGGAATGGCTTTACAAGTTTGTATAATCTCCTGTAGATGCCGCTTGGCGGTTGAACTTACGAATCTCGGTCCGAACGGGCAACTGGACATACGGACAGGTTTGCTCGTATCTCTGAAAGTTCGTAAGTCGAACGTTTGTAAGTAGAGGAGTCCCTGTATACCACAATGTTAATTACGTGTGTGAAATAGCGCTCAGCAAAGCCCCCACTGAGCAAACAACCTGCACTACACTCACAACCTTCACAAGCAAACAATCTGCACTACACTCACAACCTTCACAAGCAAACAACCTGCACTACACTCACAACCTTCACAAATAACCTGCGTTACACTCGCAACCTTCACAAGCAAACAACCTTACATTACAGTTGTGAGCAGATTCACGCAAAAATTCCCCAAGCATTAACGTTTGCAAACCAACCTATGTTGATGCTTTGAGATACTAACCTTTACTAAGTATGTTTTATATTCCGATTCGCACGGTTGGCTACGTACGCCACGAAAGACATTCAACATACTTATATATAAAATTACTTTCCCATATTTAATCTTACTTCAGTATACAGGGACTCTTCTACTTACAAACGAGTTAGGTTCCAGAGGTCTGTTCGTAAGTGTTCTTAAGTTCAACTTTACTCCTGTCGATTCCCAACATGTTGCACGGCGTGTGCACTAAACACGGGGAATGGCTTTACAAGTTTGTATAATCTCCTGTAGATGCCGCTTGGCGGTTGAACTTACGAATCTCGGTCCGAACGGGCAACTGGACATACGGACAGGTTTGCTCGTATCTCTGAAAGTTCGTAAGTCGAACGTTTGTAAGTAGAGGAGTCCCTGTATACCACAATGTTAATTACGTGTGTGAAATAGCGCTCAGCAAAGCCCCCACTGAGTCTCGAGACTTTTTCTGGAGCGTGCCGCTCTGCAATCTTTTTTGCCAATACCACCACGTGTTTGGCTCCGTGTTTGGCTCCGTGTGGGGGAAAAAAAGACAGCGCCCAGAGAAAAGCCACAAACACAAAAGTGTCACACACTCAACATCACCATATTCTGACCGCTGAAGGTCTTAAAATTAAAGTACTAACCAGATTCAACTCTGCTTAGCCTCTGAGATCTGAAGAGATCAGGTACATTTAGTGTGATTTGGTAATAGGCAGAATTTCAATACTTTTTACGGAAAGGAAATGCACGCCAAGCCCTTTGTCAATCCACTGATAGATGAGGTCCTGTTCACGCCATGGAGTCCGTGGGGGTTATTTGACCATACTTCACCAGACTGGTCAACGAGAGTGTCTGAAGGTGAGAAGCATGGACGAGGGATGCAGCAAGTAGCCCCACCATGAGTCCTTGGCACAATCCAGACTCAACCCGCTTAGCTTCTTAGATATGACAAAATCGGGCGCATTATGGGCGACTCGGTCACAAATCATACTTGGACCATTCAGTACTATCAAAACACAGCAGGCGAGGAGAGAGCAATGAGATAGATTTCTCTCACCTCCTGCAGGGCTCCAAGTGACTTCTGTAGCTTCTGCACTTCACACTCGAGCTGCCGGCAGTGCATCGCCCGCCTGTCCGCCTCCTGCCGAGCGGCCAACCCCGTCCTCGTGCTCTCGCTCAGAGCAGCCTCCAGGCGCTCGCAGCGAGCCCTCAGCTCACCCCTGTCCGCTTCCGACACGGTCAATACAGACTTCAGTCTGCGAACCTGTGCGTTCTTCTCTTCGGCATTCCGTCTCAAGACGGCCACGTCTTCCTCGCTCCATAAGCACCTCGCCTCCGTCGCCAGCTCCTCGACATCCACGCCGCCCGCGCCGTCCGCGCGCCCCTCCGACTCGCGAGAGGACCCCGCGGAGTCATCTCGCGCGGCGGATTCCTCGGGGTACTCGCGAACGATGATGCCGGCGATGTGTTTCAGCCGGGCTTCACGCGCCGCCTCCGCCTGTTCTCTGAACACGGTGCCGTAAATGTCCTTCAGGCGCAGGGCTCGACTCTGGCGAGCCTGTTCCCCTGCCGCCAACAAAGTTGACGGCTCGCCGCTGCCGAGAAGGTCCTCTGATGTGCAGGCGTACCTGGCGGGGAACAAGTCCTCCACCCAGTGGTTCAGGCGGCGTCTCCCGGTGTGAGGATTCATGGTCACCGAACGTGATTTATAGAGCGGTTGGGAAAGACAAATGGGACCTTTTATCTATCGGCTCTTTCAGCTGAACTTGAACAGTGGTCACACCATCCCTTAAAAGGCAAAAATACAACCATTTCATTCTGTTAAAAAAAAAAAATCTCAGCACGTTTCATATTAAAACTTGCAGCAACACTTTTGAGGTATTCAGTCGCGACACACAGACGTATGGCAAGCAACACACTCTCCACTGGGTTGACACACAGACGTATGGCAAGCAACACACTCTCCACTGGGTTGACACACAGACGTATGGCAAGCAACACACTCTCCACTGGGTTGACACACAGACGTATGGCAAGCAACACACTCTCGACTGGGTTGACACACAGACGTATGGCAAGCAACACACTCTCCACTGGGTTGACACACAGACGTATGGCAAGCAACACACTCTCCACTGGGTCGACACACAGACGTATGGCAAGCAACACACTCTCCACTGGGTCGACACACAGACGTATGGCAAGCAACACACTCTGGACTGGGTTGACACACAGACGTATGGCAAGCAACACACTCTGGACTGGGTTGACACACAGACGTATGGCAAGCAACACACTCTCCACTGGGTTGACACACAGACGTATAGCAAGCAACACACTCTCCACTGGGTTTCGTCTCATTCTGGGCACTTCGGCAGCGAGAGAGGCTTTACTTAAAGCCGGCGGTCACCGCATCGCGCGGCGCTTTCAGATGAGCTTCTGCGGCCGTCTGGAACGCTCTTCCTTCCGACATTAGAAAGCCACCGGAGCCATGCAACTTTTAATTCATCTCGATTGACAAACTCATTTCTTTAGAACTGCTTCTTGCATGTGTAGTTTGTTGTCCTTCCTCCGCACCTTCAATTATCGCGGTTGGCTACGTACGGTGCAAAAGAAGTTCAACATACAGACGATCATCGATAATTATAATCCAACGGCTTCGGGGGAGGTGGGGGCGACGGATTAAAAAAAACCGTCGGATAATCACTAATCATTATTTAAATTGCTTATTTTTGCACATAATTGCATGACATTATGTTTGTAGGTGTTGTCATATGTCTGTTTAGTGTATTACATTTGTTTACTATGTGAAATTGGCATAAATAAACGTCCTACTTTAAAGGTTATCGCATTTACTGTACCGTACTTACCACTCCAATCTCGAAAGCTCCGCGTGGGGTGATGCGCACGAGTGCAGTATTTTCATTAAGGTGTATGTAGTGTATAAGGTGTATAATACATCTGACACTGAAATCAGGCGTAGCTAACTTGTTTTTTTGTCACGCAAACGGTGCCAATCTCCTGAGCTGGTGGAAGCAGCAGCCCGGATAATCGATTATCAAACGGCACTTGCAACACTGCAGGATAGTGCATTGTGCTTGTACCGTTCGCCTCTTGGCGTCGTTCTCTCGTCTGGCACCGGTGGTGAGACAAGGTCCTCAAGAAGGCTGCTGGCTCTGGTGTAGACCAATCACTTTAAAAGACAATGCGTTATCATAATATATTATCTTCTTTGGTTCTTTCGGTAAAGTCACGTAGAATGAGAATAAAATAATAAAATAAAACAACACAATATTGTTTATTCTCATTCTACGTGACTTTACCGAAAGAACCAAGGAAGATGAATCCTTGCAGTCACGAAAGATTTAAATCGAAAAATAATATATTAATCAGAGCAAGTTGTTTTTTTTTCATGTTCACCACAAGTAGCACTTGCGGCTAGAGCGAACTTGATTCTTTGTAGATCTCTCGCTTACTTGAGCAGTTTTTCTTATTATTACACGTCTTCTATTAAATCACTGTCTGTTGTTGTATCCTCAAATCTTGTAACTCAATTTTAACCCACTTCCCAATGTGGTATCGACTGCAAACTTGGTATACTTATGTCACACTGATGACAATACTATATTCTATCATTAAAAACATATTTTTAAACATTATATTTGTTATATGTCATGTGTCGGCTTGGGTCCAATTGTCCACGCTCAACTCACGTTGGCTGTAAATCACCACGGCCCCTTACGTTATGGCAAGCCTAGGGGCCACTTTCAGTTTCAGTTTATTTATTTTGGTATAGCCCTATGAGCCATTCGGCTCTTGAATCGGGTGCAACCACAACAAACAAAAAACAAAAACACGAACAAGAAAAACATCTTAAAGTGACTATGTGACTGTGCAAACAGAAAATCCATGAAAAAAAACAGCAAAATATTCCTGAAAAAAGCACCGTACACCAACGCTGTGTGCAAAAAATCCCAGTGGGATGCAAGTCAAACAACAACAACAACAACCACAAAAACTTAGATTAAGGCCATCAGTCTAACTCCGTACTACAACAAAACAAACATGTCCAAACCAAAAAACGTTTTCCAAATCACCAAAAACTAAAGCCATAATTGCAACGTAACAGTGAGCACAGGGACTGTGACTGAATTTTTACAACAACATAAATAACTTTTGATTTAAAGCTTTCCTGACTGCATTAATTCATATTCTTAGCTCTTTCGGTAAAGTCACGTTGAAGGGAAACAATACAATAATAAAACATATAAAACAATAAAAATTCTCACGACGTTTCGACCATAACACAAACGGTCATCATCAGGTGTGAAAAAAACCAACGGGAAGAAACATTTGAAGGAAGTGGCGGTTTGCATTTACTTATTTATAAACGGTGTTTTATTTATAAAAAAAAAAACCCGTTAGCACCACGGGCAGCGATTTGGCAGTTTGTTTTAGAAGGACTAGTCCATCTATGTTCTGAAAAGAGGAGGGGGGAGACGAAAAATTAATGTATGCTGTCTGAAAGCCACTATAAGCGTGAACAATAAATTAAGACCCGAAATGGTTTATCAAATCCTTCCAATGATTGCTAAGCCATAATCCATATTCTCGGTTGAAATTGTCTCTGTGCTTGTATATGTGGATAGCCTCATGAACGAATCTCTCATGGTAGCCAGATGGCTTACAAAGAACCTCTGTCTTGGAGAAGTCAATGTCATGTGAGTCTACTGAATTATAACAATGATCTGCCACGGCCGAGGTGTTGGTCCTACCGTGTTTAAGGTCTGCTTTGTGTTCACGAACGCGGTCCGAGACATAAATAACATGTAACACCAAATCCTAGAGCCATAGCTGGCTGCATGAGTTACTCCACAACAGGAGCATCGGTCGGAGTATCAAATTTTTCAATGCACCTTTAAGATCAGCACGCTAAATCAAAATACAGATAATACTTTGCAGCGGTAATCCGGAGCAAAACATTTTATTTTATTTTACGCCAATGAATAGCAGTGGCAGCTAGGGGAGTACAAATCCTCTAGAGCAGTTTTGAGAGAAGATCTCATTGGTAGCGATTCAAGTTGCAGTTTATTGGCAATAGCATTCCAGACTTTGGGGGCATCAACAGCAAAGGCCCTTCCTCCAGTTGGCTGTAAAACTCCACGGTCCCATTACGTTATGGCAAGCCTAGGGTCCTCTTCCTGGAGTTCTGTCATTACTAGTAGGGTACATTTCATTAAAAACGTTTTAAAAAAATATTACTTATTATTTCTTGCTGTGGTTGTCCCACCTGATGATGGTTGCTTGTGTTGCGATCGAAACGTCGTGATTTATTTTATTTCTACCTACGTGACTTTACCGAAAGAACCAAAGAGTATGGATTACTGCAGTCACGAAAGACTCAAATCAAGATTTTCTATTTGGTGTTGAACATCTTAACACCTCCCGTTTTATTGCCAAAGGGTAAAACCTATTCTTATTGTTTCATACTGCTGGGTTTCCAGATGCTCTTGGCAACTTTGTTCCCTCCACACCACGTGGTTCTCCGTGCAAACACGTGGCCTCAACACTCACTGAGAGCGCTGTAGTAGCGAATTGTAGAAACTGTATAAACATAAAATCACTTTCCATTCATTCACTCACCCACCACACTCTCCACTCACCCCACCACACTCACCACTCACTCCACACACTCTCCACTCACTCCACTCACCCCAACACACTCTCCACCACACTCTCCACTCACTCCACACACTCCACTCACCCCAACACACTCTCCACTCACACCACACTCTCCACTCACTCCACCACACTCCACTCACTCCACACTCTCCACTCACTCCACACACTCTCCACTCACTCCACTCACCCCAACACACTCTCCACCCACTCCATTCACCCCAACACACTCTCCACCACACTCTCCACTCACTCCACGCACTCCACTCACCCCAACACACTCTCCACTCACTCCACACTCTCCACTCACTCCAACACACTCACTCCACACTTTCTCTCCACTCACTGCACTACACTCTCCACACACTCCACTCACCCCAACACACTCTCCACCACACTCTCCACTCACTCCACCACACTCCACTCACTCCACACTCTCCACTCACTCCACACTCTCCACTCACTCCACACACACTCTCCACTCACCCACCACACTCACCACTCACTGCACCACACTCTCCACCACACTCCACACTCTCCACTCACCCACCACACTCTCCACTCACTCCACACTCTCCACTCACCCACCACACTCACCACTCACTCCACACTCTCCACTCACCACTCACTGCACCACACTCTCCACTCACTCCACACTCTCCACTCACCCACCACACTCACCACTCACTCCACACTCTCCACTCACCACTCACTGCACCACACTCTCCACTCACTCCACACTCTCCACTCACCCACCACACTCACCACTCACTCCACACTCTCCACTCACTGCACCACACTCTCCACCACACTCTCCACTCACTCCACCACACTCTCCACTCACTCCACACACACTTACTCCACCACACTCTCACTCCACCACACTCTCCACTCACTCCACCACACTATCCACACACTCCACTCACCCCAACATACTCTCCACCACACTCTCCACTCACTCCACCACACTCCACTCACTCCACACTCTCCACTCACTCCACCACACTCCACTCACTCCACACTCTCCACTCACTCCACACACACTCTCCACTCAGCCACCACACTCACCACTCACTGCACCACACTCTCCACCACACTCCACACTCTCCACTCAGCCACCACACTCTTCACTCACTGCACCACATTCTCCACTCACCCCACCAACACTCCACTCCCTATAGACTCACCAATCTGACTCTCCAATCACCCACCACACTCTCCACTCACCCACCACACTCACCACTCACTCCACACTCTCCACTCACTGCACTACACTCTCCACCACACTCTCCACTCACCCACCACACTCTCCACTCACTCCACACTCTCCACCACACTCTCCACTCACCCACCACACTCACCACTCACTCCACACTCTCCACTCACTGCACCACACTCTCCACCACACTCTCCACTCACTCCACACTCTCCACCACACTCTCCACTCACCCACCACACTCACCACTCACTCCACACTCTCCACTCACTGCACCACACTCTCCACCACACTCTCCACTCACTCCACACTCTCCACCACACTCTCCACTCTCCACCACACTCTCCACTCACCCACCACACTCACCACTCACTCCACACTCTCCACTCACTGCACCACACTCTCCACCACACTCTCCACTCACTCCACACTCTCCACCACACTCTCCACTCACCCACCACACTCACCACTCACTCCACACACACTCTCCACTCACTGCACCACACTCACCCACCACACTCTCCACTCACTGCATCACACTCTCCACACACTCCACACACTCCACTCACCCCAACACACTCTCCACCACACTCTCCACCACACTCCACACTCTCCACTCACCCACCACACTCTTCACTCACTGCACCACACTCACCACTAACCCCACCAACACTCCACTCCCCATAGACTCACCAATCTGACTCTCCAACACCCACAACCCATCACTCACTCCTCTCTGCTCACCTCTATAGCCCGACTCTGTAGACTGAGTGAAGCGGGGTCAGCAGAACTTCACTCTCGAGCGACTTGGATTCACTTTGCCTGTACTGGATCTTCTGCCCGGACTGGATTCACTCTGCCCGGCCTGAACTCATTGTGGCCGGACTGGATTAATTATGCCTGGACTGGACTAATTGTGGCCGGACTGGATTCACTATGCCTGGACTGATTCACTATGCCTGGACTGGACTAATTGTGGCCGGAGTGGATGCACTATGCCTGGACTGGACATATTGTGGCCGAACTGGACTAATTGTGGCCGAACTGGACTCACTATGCCTGGACTGGACTGTTTGTGGCCGGACTGGACTCATTGTGGCCGGATTGGAGTCACTGTGCCTGGACTGGACTCAATGTGCCTGGACTGAACTCACTTTCACTCTGCCCGGCCTGGATTCTCTCTTTGACCAGACTGGTATCCCCTGTGCCCGGACTACACTCCATGTGCCCGGACTGGATTCCCTGTGCCCGGACTGGATTCCCTGTGCCCGGTCTGGATTCCCTGTGCCCGGACTGGATTCCCTGTGCCCGGACTGGACTCCCTGTGCCCGGACTGGATTCCCTGTGCCCGGACTGGATTCGCTGTGCCCGGACTGGATTCCCTGTGTCCGGACTGGATTCCCTGTGCCCGGACTGGACTCCCTCGGCCCGGACTGGATTCCCTGTGCCCGGACTGGATTCGCTGTGCCCGGACCGCGTGGTTTTGCCAGGCAACGCTCTGACGCTTGCGTCGTCACGTAACCCATAGCAATCGCTGCGTCGATTCCTCGACTCTAAAGTCGGCGCGATTTCCCCGTCGATTCCTGCTTCATGAGAATGGACCAATCGCCGAAGAGATGATACGCGCGCGGCGATTTTGCGATTCGATCGTCGCGATTCCATTAGGCGACTCCGACTCCCCTTGTTCGGATTGTTTCGCGATGCGGCACCGTTAGCCCAAAAATTAGTCGCGTATCCAATTTGTTTCAATATTAATTATTGCATTGATTGGTTTAACAGGTAGGCTTTCGCGACCAATATCATCCATATTATAGTCATGTGTAAAGGGCTTAGGGGCCGTCCATAAATGACGTCACGCGATTTTGGACGATTTTTGACCCCCCCCTTCGTCACACGACGTCACAAAAAGTCAGACCCCCCCCTTTCAAATATGACGTCACAAAGCTCTGCCCCCCCCCCACCCCTAAAAAAATATAAAACATGCTTCAAATCGCTTTATCATTGTAGTGCGTATTTAATGTGGCGCTGCACTCTGATGTTGTAGGAGAAAACATTTATTAAAAAGTATATTTAATTAAGTAGAACGTGTTGTCTATATTAATTTAAAATTGCGCATTTTGATGTGACGTCACATTTCTCAAACCCCTCCTCCCTCCCTCGTCACACATCGTCACAAATGTCTGACCACCCCCCCCCCCTTTAGGTGCGTGACGTCATTTATGGACGGGCCCTTAGCTTTGCTGTTACCCCACGTACCCCCACGTACAATCCCTGTCGATGAGATATTTGCTGAAGTGGAATCAGCAGTTAGACGTCTCCCAATCAAGCTGAGATGACTAGGCATGAGTAAATTGCCAAAAACAAATTGGTTTCAGTGAGCCAAAAGCCTTAGGAGGACTGAGAGGACTGAGAGCTGCTGATAAGGGCCGATCAACTGTTGTGATGACCCGTGAGGTTTACGATAGCAAAATCAAAGATTTTACTCTAAGGCAGGGGCGGAGCCAGGATTTTGACTTTGGGGGGGGGCTGACTTCAATATTCTGAGACATCCAGTGTTTGTGTTTTACAATGGGCGCCACAAATGTATGAAACAAATTTTATTGAATTTGAACGCAGTTTATTAAGCCTGCAGGGCAGCACAAGGTGGCAGCCTGCAGGGCAGCACGAGGTGGCAGCACAAGGTGACAGCCTGCAGGGCAGCACGAGGTGGCAGCCTGCAGGGCAGCACAAGGTGGCAGCCTGCAGGGCAGCACGAGGTGACAGCACGAGGTGGCAGCCTGCAGGGCAGCACGAGGTGACAGCACGAGGTGACAGCCTGCAGGGCAGCACAAGGTGGCAGCCTGCAGGGCAGCACGAGGTGGCAGCCTGCAGGGCAGCACACGAGGTGGCAGCCTGCAGGGCAGCACGAGGTGGCAGCCTGCCGGGCAGCACGAGGTGGCAGCCTGCAGCATTTTGCAGCAGCCGGATATCCGGTTATCCCGATTACCGACTTTCACAAAATTTCAGGGGGGGCTGAGCCCCCCCAGCCCCCCCTGTGGCTCCGCCCCTACATTAAACGAGACCCATCCAACACCTTGGAACCTATAACAGCGGCAATCATTGCCAAGTCATTAATTCCCGAGGGAGAGCAATACTTGATCAAACCAAGGGTGTCAAAGCCACCAAGACTTCATGGGCTACCAAATAAACACAAACCTGATGTCCCATTAAGACCCATAGTACAATAGGCTCTGCCACATACAGATTAGCACAATACGTAACGAAACAAATACAGCCCCACATCGGTAGGACCTCTTCGTTAATTAAAAACTCAGAACATCTCGTAAATATATTTAAATATATTATGCTTATAACCCTAATGATATTACTCTTTGGTTCTTTTGGTAAAGTCACGTAGGTAGAAAAATAAAATTAAAAAAAATAATAAATCACGACGTTTCCATCGCAACACAAGCGGTCGTTCTCAGACGAAAAAAAATACAAAAATAATCTAGCAGTGGAACTGGTCGATTCCAGTAGTGGAACTGGTCAATTCTAGCAGTGGAACTGGTCGATTATTTTTGTTTTCCGCCTGAGGACGACCGCTTGTGTTGCGATGGAAACGTCGTGATTTATTATTTTTTATTTTATTTTTCTGCCTACGTGTCTTTCCCGAAAGAACCAAAAAGTATGGATTCCTGCATTCACGAAAGCTTCAAATCAAGATCCTAATGATATTCCGGTAAGTTTTGATGCGACTTCGCTGTTCACGAGAGTTCCGGTTAACGAGTCAATTACATTACCCCGATACTCTGTTAACGAGCACACTAGCTGAACACTGTCTAAAGGACACCCATTTCTTGTGGAAATGTGATTTCTATAAACAAAAGGAAGGAGCAGAAATGGGCTCTCCTTTTGTCTCCTGTGATTGCGAAGATTTTGAAGCAAAAGCAACAGCCTCAAGCAGACTTAAACCCTCTGCTTGTTTTAGATATGTGGATGACACACTGGTGGTCTGGCCACACGGCAAAGATACACTTATATAATTTATAATTAATCTCAACTCGCAATACCCATCCATCCACAGTTCACCATGGAAGTTGACAGAACCCCCCCCCCCCCCCCACTTTCTGGATGTTCTGCTCGGGCACGGCCGAAATGGTAAAATAACACAGCATTTACCAAAAGAAAACGCACACTGACGCCTCTCTGAATGCAGTCACACCAGCACCCCAGACAGAAATCCTCTCTCATCAAGACGCTCATACATCGGGCTAAGAAAGTGTCGTATGGTGATAGTCTGAGAAGTTAATTTAAACATGTTAAAGCAGCACTGCAATTGAACTGTTACAATGATGCACAAATCAACAGGGCACTGAATGTCAAAACCAAATTAAAATAACACGAGAGTTGAAACTGACCAAGTAATTTAAACGATTAAAATACCGTACATTGCGGGAGTAACCGATAAACTAGCCAGATGTTTGGAAAAACAAAGCATCTGAGTCAGATTTGGCATGGTACATAAAATACAGAAACTAATATCTGGTACTAAAGATGTATTACCGAAGCTATCAACAGAAGGTGTGTACCAGATTAATTTCACTTGTGGCAAATGCTATGTTGGGCAGACAGGACGAATGATCAGCACGAGACTAAAAGAACACCAAAGGAATATGAAATACTTCCAAATACAGCTGTCGGCAGTGGCAGAACACGCGTACCAACAAGGACACTCAATGCATTCTCATAATGTTGAAGTTCAGTGCAAAACTAGCTACTACTGGCCAAGACTAATTAGATAATCTATCGAATTTAGAAAAATAAAAATCATTGTAACTGTTAGGATAGCTACAGGCTTAGTGCTGCTTGGAAGCGGATCATCAAATAATACATTGTTTATATGCATGCCTATACAGGTCACCATACATCAATGGGGATTACGTGTACGCAGTCAGTAACATGTACTGCTATTTTATTGGACAATAACGACAGGAGGTACAAGAACGATGTGCATACATTATGTACTTTGATTACTATAAGAATAACCCATTACAATGTGTAATATGCATTCATTATACCCAGCCCTCCTTCGCACAAGAAGGGCTCACAAGTGGCGTCATCACATCTATCCCTCTAAGGAACGAAACGGGACGATTTGTCCACAAATCTGGCTGTCGCCCGATGAAGCTAGTTGTAATTACTGGCGAAACGTCGTACTCAGATTGTAAATGTTGTGGATTTTCTCTCCAACACACCGGTGTGCTGTATACTAGTGACGAATTGGCCACGTTCTGCTTACGTGACAAACCTTACTAATTGGCTGTGTTGGGTGGTGGCGGGTTTATCGACAAATGTATATTTACGCCATCTTAACCCAAAAAAAAACTATAATTGCACTGATAATTTATATTGTACTAATTCGATGTGTGTATATGGCAGCAATATGTTCAGGAGCTATATGTATGTGTTCGTATTGTATGTTACCTACTCCGACTGGACATCTGCGAAAAAGAGCTTTATAGCTCATCGGATTCCTCCGGAATAAATACATGTTCTGATTCTGAACGTTGAACTTATTTCACACCGTATGCAGCCAACCGTGCTAATCGGAGGTGCGACTCGAGGTGCCAATATCTGCTCGCCACGACGAGAGGGCTTCAGGAGAGAGAGTTGTCGTGGCTTTTGTGTTCCTCCGTTGAAGAGGCGCAGACTACAGTGGGTTTACTCTGTGGTCCATCGTTTGTGTTGCACGATCACAATCGCAGCACCGTGGTTTTATCTTCATCCCCCATCTATGAAGGAGATGCGCGCATCGGCCCCGGTGATATTCCGATGCGGTTGATGGTTCCGCCGCCGGTGTCTTCAAGCAAAGTAAAAGCCACGAGGTTGCGATGTTTGGGTTCCACGAACGAGGTGCTTGTTCTGGACGTCCGCCTTGTTCCGCTCTGTTCGCCAGCGTTCTCCCGGTTCTGGATGGGATTCTACGACTGTGACAACAACAGCAGCAGCAGCGGCAGCAGCAGCGCGATCCCGGATGGGGGCTCGGGACTTGGGAGTCAGTGACGAGGGGATATAATCATCATCATTATCAGCCATGATTGAGCCACTGGTGAAGGCCCTCTGTCGCCATTCCATCCCTGCGATGGAACGATAACATCGTCACCTCATTGAGACGCAGGGATCCTTGCACACTAAGCGACGAATCGTTGCACTGTTACTCTACATGGAAGTCTAAACAAGTATCGTCGAAGATACTCCCACAGCGCACCTCCGACGAAGCACGGTTGGCTACGTACGGTGTGCAAGATGTTCAACATACAGGGTATAACCCTCTTCCAACACGTCATGGTCAGCGTGAAAGAGTAGGCCAAATGCCACTCTAGAGATGACGGCTCGCTCTCGAGAGCCCAGTCTATAGTGGAGGCCCCTTCGCGCCAGTATTGGCGTGACAAAGCACTCACAGTGCCCCATCTTCACCTGTTTATTGTTACAAAATGCACGCATTAGCTGCCCGGTGCGCGGTATGGCGAGTATTCTCATGCCTGTCAACCCCTTGTCAGTGCCGACCTTATTACAAACTAATTTAGACCTAATTGGTCACCCGTGCCCTGATAAATTTCAACGTTCATCCGACAAAGTTCCATCACAAAGGAGAAATACGAACAAACAGACAAAAACATTTTTGCCCGTATTCAAACGTCTGTACGCCGCCGTATGGACTTCAAAACTCAATTTGCATGCACAAGAATACGGGGTAAACCGTATGGGTTGACAGCTTTGCATTCTTAATTAGCTAACTTTCAAAAGCACATTAATCGCGTCGTCAAATCTGTAAGTGAACGTCAAACCCCAATCGAAGTCGAAATGTAATCGCAGGCCCGAAAACCACAAGTGTAAAACAATACACAGAGCCGTGTACTATAAGCGCACAGCTGTGTGCATTACGCAACAACAAAAACCATGATCAGTTACTGAAGAACTGCATTGGACTCCTCTTGCTTTATGTCACCGTGAATAATTTGTACACGTTCTTTTGAGCAAATGTAACCGACGGACAAACGGCAGTGAGACAGATACAACTGGAGACCCGTTTCGTACCTATTGGGACTCGTCAGTACAGAGCATAGCCACCAATGCTCACTGCTGCAATAAACCGACGGACGACTCATTTCAGAAAGAGAAACACACCTTTACGCATGTCCCTGTTATTGATGACAAGTACTTTTTCACAGTTCATAAATGATATTAATTGGCCATTGTTTTTATATTCACCATATTAAACCGTCAAAATGAACATTTAAATTAGATATGGTTTGCCATGGACTCTTTGTCTACAATGAATACGGTAATTGTGCGAAGTGCCGTACCTGGGCCCTCTTAGCGCCAGCACCTGCAGCCAGAGACGGCCCCTCAGCCATTCACACGGCCACCAGCCTCACAGTGGCATTGCTGTTTCCTCCACAGGTGAGTCTCCTTCTTTCACAGGCGAGCAACACACGCGTAAGGTGAGACTCAGGTTAGTGTCCTGCACAGGTGAGCTTCACACTCGCAGGTGAGACTCAGGTTAGTATCCTGCACAGGTGAGTCTCACACTCGCAGGTGAGACTCAGGTTAGTATCCTGCACAGGTGAGTGTCACTCTCGCAGGTGAGACTCAGGTTAGTATCCTGCACAGGTGAGCTTCACACTCGCAGGTGAGACTCAGGTTAGTATCCTGCACAGGTCAGTCTCACACTCGCAGGTGAGACTCAGGTTAGTATCCTGCACAGGTGAGTGTCACTCTCGCACGTCCTCATTCCCTCTCTCACAGGTGAGCCTCAATCTCACAGGCGAATCTCAGGTGAGCCTCCCACTCACAGGTGAGTCACTCCGTCACAGGTGAGCTTCACCCCCTCTCACAAGTCAGTCACTACCTTACAGGTGAGCTTCACTCCCTCTCACAAGTCAGTCACTACCTTACAGGTGAGCTTCACTCCCTCTCACAAGTCAGTCACTACCTTGCAGGTGAGCTTCAATCCCACTCACAAGTCAGTCATTACCTTACAGGTGAGCTTCACTCCCTCTCACAAGTCAGTCACTACCTTGCAGGTGAGCTTCAATCCCACTCACAATTCAGTCACTACCTTACAGGTGAGCTTCACTCCCACTCACAGGTGAGTCACTCCGTCACAGGTGAGCTTCACCCCCTCTCACAAGTCAGTCACTACCTTGCAGGTGAGCTTCACTCCCACTCACAAGTCAGTCACTACCTTACAGGTGAGCTTCAATCCCACTCACAATTCAGTCACTACCTTACAGGTGAGCTTCACTCCCTCTCACAAGTCAGTCACTACCTTACAGGTGAGCTTCACTCCCACTCACAGGCGAGTTTCAGATAAGCCTCCTACTCACAGGTGAGCCTCACTCTCAGGTAAATAAGTGTACGTAAAAAAATAGACTTGATGTATTAACTGGGAAAGTTAGAATAATCAAAATATGTATTCAGACTGGAGGAATCCGATGAGCTATAAAGCTCTTTTTTTCACAGATGTCCAGTAGAGTCTCAGGATGATCCTGCTTGAGGCGTTAGGGAATATTTTGCGCATGGGAGGAAACTGCAATGCTTGGAGAACCGCTCGTGTGTGAATGCAGGACGGACCCTAACATCCACACGGGGAGGTCGGCACTTTCATTTTCCCGTTCATTAATTGTCAGCTCACAGTGCAGTTAATTTGTTTCCTGATATTTTTTTTGCTCAGAATTAATTCCGTAGGATTTGTACACCGGCTAGAGGAAGTGCTAACGTTAGGAGTACGCTTCGTAGCAATGCGTTTCAGCGTTCGCACGTGTCCCTGTAAACTCAAGCATTGGGTCGGGATACGAATTATTATCTGCTGGCAGTGATGGTGCAAATTCCACATTCCTATGGCGGAGGCTATTATAACAACTACTCGTGACTTTGCCGAAAGTTATACAGTACTCTCTTTTTTTATCGACCCAGAGGGATGGATGATTGTCTGAGTCGACTTCCAACTGGGATTTCAGCTCATGACCTCAATCGGTTCTTTGCCACAGCAGTGGGGTGTGGGTTATGGATATCGCCACCGTTAAAACGTATGGTTTCGTTGGTGATCTACCACTCTGTGAACACTCCAATTCTCGTCAAGGAGCACAAACCATCATGCAAACTCCGGGTCATCCTCGCTAGCAGCGGATTCTGGCGAACCATGGAGCAAAGACTGCGGTCACTGCATCGCGCGCTTTCAAATGCGCCTTTGCGGGCGTCTGGAACGCTCTTCCTTCCGATATTAGGAAGTCACTGGAGCTATGCACTTTTAAATAATCTCGATTGAGAAACTCAACGCTTTAGAACTGCTCTTTTGTGTTAAGTTTGTTGTCTTTTCTCCGCACCTCTGATTAGCTCGGTTGCCTATGTACGGTGTGAAAGAATTGCAACATACATACATTTCAATCTACATTTGTTCCAGTATATTCACACATTTATCGTTTTTTTATTCATGGTTCTTTCGGTAAAGTCACGTAGGAGGGAAACAATAAAATAATAAAAATATAAAACAATCAAATTATCACGATGTTTCGACTGCAACACAAGCAATCATCATCAGGTGTAAAAACCACAACAAGAAAATTTGAAAGAGCTTTAAATCAAAATGTATCGTTTTGTTGAGTGCACATTTTCTGTGTGTAAATGCGGTGCTAGTGGTGAAACCTCGTGTGTAATGAGCTCCGTGTGTTTGAGTCTCTGCGTGCGAATCTTTGTCTCTGTGTGAGTTATCTGCCTCGGTGTAATTCTGTGCGAGTCTGTGTCTCTTTGTCTGTGTAATGTGAGTCTGTATCTCTTTGTCTCTCTGAGTGAGTTTGTGTGTTTAATGCCATTGTCTCTATGTCTCTATGTGTACATCTTTGTGTGTGTGAGTCTGTATGTGTTTCTGTGTAATTCTGTGTGTATGTTTGTATCTGTGAGTGAGTCTGTATGTCTGTGTGTGTCTCTGTGTAAGTCTGTGTGAGTCGGAGTCTGTGAGTGAGTCAGTATGTCTGGCTGTGTCTCTGTAATTCTGTGTGAGTCGGAGTCTGTGTGTGAGTCTATATGTCTGTGTGTGTCTCTGTAATTCTGTGTGAGTCGGAGTCTGTGTGTGAGTCTGTATGTCTGTGTGTGTCTCTGTGTAATTCTCTGTGAGTCGGAGTCTGTGTGTGAGTCTGTATGTCTGTGTGTCTCTGTGTAATTCTGTGTGAGTCGGAGTCTGTGAGTGAGTCTGTATGTCTGTGTAATTCTGTGTGAGTCGGAGTCTGTGTGTGAGTCTGTATGTCTGTGTGTGTCTCTGTGTAATTCTGTGAGTCGGAGTCTGTGTGTGAGTCTGTATGTCTGTGTGTGTCTCTGTGTAATTCTGTGTGAGTCGGAGTCTGTAAGTGAGTCTGTATGTCTCTGTAATTCTGTGTGAGTCGGAGTCTGTGTGTGAGTCTGTATGTCTGTGTGTGTCTCTGTGTAATTCTGTGTGAGTCGGAGCCTGTGTGTGAGTCTGTATGTCTGTGTGTGTCTCTGTGTAATTCTGTGTGAGTCGAAGTCTGTGTGTGAGTCTGTATGTCTGTGTGTCTCTGTGTAATTCTGTGTGAGTCGGAGTCTGTGTGTGAGTCTGTATGTCTGTGTGTGTCTCTGTGTAATTCTGTGTAAGTCGGAGTCTGTGTGTGAGTCTGTATGTCTGTGTGTCTGTGTAATTCTGTGTGAGTCGGAGTCTGTGTGTGAGTCTGTATGTCTGTGTGTGTTTCTGTGTAATTCTGTGTGAGTCGGAGTCTGTGTGTGAGTCTGTATGTCTGTGTGTGTCTCTGTGTAATTCCGTGTGAGTCGGAGTCTGTGTGTGAGTCTGTATGTCTGTGTGTGTCTCTGTGTAATTCTGTGTGAGTCGGAGTCTGTGTGTGTTTAATGTTGTTGCTGTGTGTGCTTGAGTCTCCGTGCGTTCATCTCTTTGCCTGTGAGTCATGTGTCTCTGTGTAAATCCGTGTGATGTGAGCCTTAGTTCGCTTTGTCCGCGAGTGAGTCCTGCGAGCGAGCGAGTGAGTGAGGAGTCCGTGGCGCCGTGTCACAGGAGGAGCAGGATGGGTCACGCGGCCCCGCTCGCCCTGGCTGCCCTCTGCGTCTCGGCCGCGGGCCTCGCATTGGCCGTTGCGGCCGCGGCCGCGCCGCATTGGCTCTCGCGGGCTACACTGGGCGCCTACCTGGTGCAGGACGAGGTGAGACGAGGCGTGACGAGGTGAGGTGTGACGAGGTGTGAGGATCTAACCACAGGAGGGGATCACCAGCACTCACTCAGCCAATTCTCACTGTTGCCAAGTCTTCCTCTGGACACCATGAAGTCCCCGACTCCACACCGTAGAGCCCATTAGCTCGGCTCATGCCAACGCAAACCAGACACTCTATACGATTGTGTTATTTGAAACTTGTGCTTTTTTGCCTCCACTAAAAAAGGGGGGTTCCTCGCATCGGCGAGGTGTTAACTACCTCGCCTGATGTACAGGAGGTCGTGGGTTCGATCCCGACCCTGACGCCTTCTGTATATTTGAAGTTTGCGTGTTTTCCCTGTTCTCCCCGTGATTGCGTGGATTTTTATCCGAGTCCTCCGGGTTTTCCCTCCACAGTTAGAAACGCGCGTTTAGAGTTTTGGCTGCTATACATTTCCACGTGATAAGCTACCTCGTTGAGCTATCATTTGTGATATCCAGGTCGCTTCTGAAAAATAGCTTTTTAGCTCGGTGGGCCATACCTGGTAAAATAAAAAGTTTAGTTTATTAACAAATTAGATTTTGAGAAGATTTGCTGATGTGTTTTTTGTCTTACAAGAACGATACGCAGTGGACGGTGGTGAGAGAAAAGTTACATTATATAAATCTTCATATTTATGATATTGAGTGGCAAAGGCATTTAAGGAAAACAAGATTCGAGTCATGCAGCCCTCAAGCACCACTGGTAGGGCTCCACGCACCAATAGCACCCCAAACTCGCGTGGAGTTTGCTAACTACAGGTGCAAGGATAGGGACATCTTACACATTCCTGCGGAGGGAGCTGGTAGGAACGTTGGGTTGCTCGGTCAATGGCCAGGGTCAACGGCGGCACCACGTGGTGTATTCCGTAAATATGCCCGACTGTGAGGGCGGGCACAAGCCGGCGTGAGTAGGTTAAACGTTGAGTTTTATAAGGGCACCACGGGGTGACCAGCCCCTCCCCACCCAGCCCCACCCCTCCCACCCCCCACCAAGCCCCACCCTCCCCACCCACCCCTCCCTACCCAGCCCTCTCCACCCTCCCCACCCAGCCCCTCCCCACCCTCCCCACCCAGCACATTTATTTGCTAAAAATGATTTTATGGATGAACAGGACCCAATATACACGGTGGTCCAGATGTCTAGTGACCCCAATGAAATTTTTTAAAGTAAGGTTTAAAAAAAAAGAAAAAAATATGCAACGGGAAGAAAAATGTTAGGGGTCAATTAATTGGGCGTCACACGGGACATTGGATCACCACACCCTGTAGATTCCAGAGGAGACGGAGAGTGTTGACATGCGGGAGGAAATCGCAGAGAGGACAGCAGATCACAACGGTCCACCGGCTTTGCCCTCCACATGAAGAATATTCACCCTGCGTCTAGATCGTTTTAGGTTAATTTGCTGCTTTAAATTTCCACGTGATAAGCCACTTCGTTGAGCTATCATTTGTGGTCAGGTCGCTGCTGACAAAGAAGTTAAGAGCTCAGTGGGGCCTTGCCTAGTAAGATGAAGACAATAGTTTGGTTTTATTTTTGTGTATATTTAAGTTATTGTTAACATTTCCTAAACTTTACACTCCTATCGTGTTTTTGAGTTATTTGTCGTTGTTGTTGGAACGTTCTGACCTGGCCCTACTGGAGAATCTGTGAAAAAGAGCTTTCCGGCTCATCGGATTCCTCCAGCAAGAATCACATATTCTGATTCTGAATTAGACGACCATCGCCCCAATCACAGTTCTATAATCACTGGTTACATTGTTTTTATAGCTTTATTTTGGTGATTTTGAAAACGTTTTGGTTTAGCCATGTTTGTTTGTTGTAGTACAGAGTTAGCCTGATAACTTTAATCTAAATTGCCTTATGGTTGTTATTGTTTGACTTGCATTCCAATGGGATTTTTGCACACAGCGTTGAAATACGGTGTTTTTTTTCTCTCGAAGACTTTACTGTTTTTTTCCTGGATTTTTCTGTTGCGTGTAGTCACTTTAACATGTGTTCTTGTTCGTGTTTTTGTTTGTTGCGGTTGCAACCCGAGTCAAGAGCCGCACGGCTCACAGGGCTACACATAATAAATGAAAAAAAAACGAAAACGTGCCGAACTCAGATGGTCCATTCCCCCGGTGGGATCGCGACCACTCGCTCGCTCTGCCTCGCCTGAAGCCACCGCAATGGATCGCTGACCTCGACGTGAAACTACAGCTGCTCATCTCACCCCAAACCCACCCACCCCCTCGTGGCTCCAGGTGTTCAGCGAGGGGCTTTGGCAAACGTGCGTGGAGCGCGCGCTGCTCGGCCACCGCCAGTGCTCCGAATACTTCACGCTGCTCGCGGCGCCCGGCGCCCTGCAGCCGGCGCGCGCCCTGCTGCCCCCCGCCGTGCTGCTCGCCCTGCTGGGCGTCGCAGTGGCCGCGCCGCCCGCATGCTGCCGCTGCCGGGCGCCGCGCCTGCTACTCGCAGGTGAGAGGCCAGCCCAGAGCTTGCCCCCACCACCACCGCCCAGAGCCGCCCCACCACCACCACCGCCCACAGCACCCCCCCCACCACCGCCCAGAGCTCCCCCCACCACCGCCCAGAGCCCCCCACCACCGACCAGAGCACCCCCCCCCACCACCACCCAGAGCTCCCCCCCACCACCACCCAGAGCCCCCCCCCCCGCCACCGCCCAGAGCTCCCCCCCCCCCCAACGCCCAGAGCTCCCACCACCACCCAGAGCTCCCCCCCACCACCACCGCCCAGAGCCCCCCCCCCCCCCAACGCCGCCGGCCCGGGCTGCGATGTCGTTGCAGGCGGCTGCGCGCTTGGCCTCTCCGGCGCGCTGTGCCTCGCCGCCGTGGGGTTCGTGTGCGCGCGCGTCGTCAGGGACTTCTTCGACCCCTTCGTCCCGGAGCCCCAGAAGCCCGAGTTGGGCTCCAGCATCTACGTGGGCTGGGCCGCGTCGGCCGCCCTTCTGTGCGGCTGCGCCCTGCTGCTGTGCTCGGCGTACGCGCAGCAGCAGCAGCAGGAGGAGGAGGCGCGCGACCTCGACCCCACCGCCCCCTCCAACGCGCGCTGGCCGCAGCGCGTCTCCTACATATGAGCTGGCGGGCAGCTCGCAGAATCCGGCACTGATTCTCGTTCGTCTTTAGCACGTTGCTCTTGCGCTTCAAGTTAGAGTGCTGCTGCACCATGGATCGTGTTAGTACGACGTGTTAGTGTCACTGCCGGGTGGAGTGCTCTTGCGCTTCAAGTTAGAGTGCTGCTGCACCATGGATCGTGTTAGTACGACGTGTTAGTGTCACTGCCGGGTGGGTTACTCTGTGCTTCAAGTTAGAGTGTTGCTACAGCATGGATCGTGTTAGTACGACGTGTTAGTGTCACTGCCGGGTGGAGTGCTCTTGTGCTTCAAGTTAAAGTGCTTCTACACCATGGATCGTGTTAGTACGACGTGTTAGTGTCACTGCCGGGTGGAGTGCTCTTGCGCTTTAAGTTAGAGTGTTGCTACAGCATGGATCGTGTTAGTACGACGTGTTAGTGTCACTGCCGGGTGGGTTACTCTGTGCTTCAAGTTAGAGTGTTGCTACAGCATGGATCGTGTTAGTACGACGTGTTAGTGTCACTGCCGGGTGGAGTGCTCTTGCGCTTTAAGTTAGAGTGTTGCTACAGCATGGATCGTGTTAGTACGACGTGTTAGTGTCACTGCCGGGTGGGTTACTCTAGGCTTCAAGTTAGAGTGTTGCTGCACCATGGATCGTGTTAGTACGACGTGTTAGTGTCACTGCTGGGTGGAGTACTCTGTGCTTCAAGTTAGAGTGTTGCTGCACCATGGATCGTGTTAGTACGACGTGTTAGTGTCACTGCTGGGTGGATTACTCTGTGCTTCAAGTTAGAGTGCTGCTACACCATGGATCGCGTGTGATCGTTTTATTCCCACTACCCCTGCTCATTTGTCCGAGTTCTTTTTTAAAGCTGAATGGATCCTGGAAAGTGGACGCGTATTGTAAATAAAGGCAGATCTTGGTGTGCTTGAGGAGCGATTTCCAGCTTTGTGGAAGATCAAACCGCTGGGGATCTTTGGCACCGTTCACCATTCATGTTCAATACAAGCACCTACATACATATATACCAAGCTGCTGCTGCTGCTGCTGCTTCAAGCGAAGTTATTGGTGGAGTAACGGGCGAGTTGAAAATGATAACGGGGTTTTGTTAGATACCGTCAGTGAGAGCAACTAACAGAGTGCACCAATCCCCCCCCCCCCCCCCCGAAACCCTTCAGTATGGACATACGGACATAGACAATACCATAAAACTTTCTAACTTAGTTGGACATCTTTCATAAAGCCTTCGACATAAATGTATTACTGTATAACAATGCGAATCATCGTATAATCTTCTGTCTTGCTCTCACTGGACGTCTGTGAAAAATAGCTTCATAGCTTATGAGATTCCTCCAGTATACATGACGATTCTCATTACGTCTGTCCTTACTTAGAGAGATTGGCAGTCGTAAACGGTATTGAGAGTAAGTAAGAACATTCGAGTTTAACACGTAGGCTTTCGCGACCAATATCATCCATAAGTTTTTTATGGGTTAGATCGCGTAAATGTGTCGTTAAATCCGCCACCACCCGACACAGCCAATTAATAATGAATTGTGGAAGAACATTTGATATTGTGCACTCTTACGAGTCCAGTCCATCACGAATGCGCATTGAGCACAAGTTGAAGTGGGCTCTCTGAAGCAACGACAACAACAACAACAACGTTTAGAGTCTGTCGCGAAACTGGCTCAGACTCAGGGATGGATTCCGAACGTGAGCCGGCAGCGTGGTTCCAGGTCTTTGGGCCGGAGACCCCGAAGCTGGGCGCTGGCCGTATCGTGCGCGAGGTTCACACGTGGCGGGTGAAGCAGCAGCCGCGGATCGCAGCCGGAGTCGATCTGGGTCAGTTGAAGCTGGTCCGCACTGAGAGAGTCTTAAATCGTCTCAAGAGGTATGCAGAGGGTGTTAACAGTCTACGCGGATGAGCGGTTGGGTTGTAGGTGGTGTCATTGCAATCATTGGGATGCAATGTTTGATTTGACACAAAAAACGTATTAATAACACATTATTATAGTTTACCAGTTATTGCATTATGAATAAAAGTGAAAAGGGATGAACATGTGTTGGGATGACTTATTCCACTTTCCATCACTTCTACCATGGATAACAAGGTGACCTCTTAAAACCTACACGCAATATATGAGTATGGTGATACCTGTATTTACCCAGGATTGTGTGTTTAATTTGAATGTTATCTACAACATGGCAAATGTTATAAATTGAGAGCAAAATTATAACATGAAGCAATGTTTCATTAATGTTGCAGGGTGAGAAGGATAGCACTACCATCGGCTACATGTAATAGTTATTTATAGTTATGTACAAATGGCAACCTTACAGGGTATCGGCACTTGTGTGGGTGCAGCATTGGGATTTGCCCTATTGACTGGTGCATGTGAGTGAAAACCGGAGTTTCCAAAGCAACCCAAAAATACAAGGGAGATAACGCTTTACAATCCATACAGATATCACAGCATCTTTGCTCCACGGTCATAAACCAGCCACTCTCTAGGGGGGAAAGCTGCGTACAAGATCACACTGTGATCTCCCAACCCCCTCCAAAACGCTGGGCTTCAGAAATCCACCGCCAGTAATCACTGCACGTTGACTACGCTATGCCTGAAAATGCCAGCTTTTGGAACATCAAAATACCGACAAAAGTTTATTTTAAAAACCCATACAAACTTATGTTAAGAAGCCTTGAAAAACGCTGACGAGTAGAAATGACAAGTGGTAAATGGCTCGTGAAGCCATGCGTCGATTCGTGAAGATTTCTGCTTCAGGGTTGTAACACGTAACTTGGAAAACAAGACCAATAACAATTGGTAATTGAGACTAATCGTGGCGCTGAATCCCGACAATTCACAGAATCACCTGGGGGCCGAGGGAAGTGACTCTAGTTTCAGGCCGAGGGAGGTGACTAGTTTCAGCCCTAATCATGTAATGGATACATAGGTATTTTGATTTTTTTTCAATCGCTTTAACTCGTCGCTTTGATCGATATCTGATTATTACAGCAAGCGCATTCGCCGCTCACACAAAGGTTTGTCTACCGCTCGGCTTATTTGAACGTAAAGCTACATCATCAAAATATTTGGTAGCAGCATTTTTTTTTTAAAACGGTACACAGTTGATGATTGTTCGAGGTCCCATTAATTTAGGCCGTGACTTAGCAGCAGAATTCCTTTGCTTGCCCTCGCTGTGCGAGTGTTGATGACATGTGGCACAAGCGCCCCATTGTAATCTCATGGTCTTGACCCCCTATCTTTCGTCGCTTAGCAGGTTTTTTTTTTTAAATCCGCTGAGAGCAATAAAGTGAACGCGCTAAACACTCCCCTTGTGCGTCGGAGCCTCTCATGGGCCCGCAAGAACTTTCCTACATGGCGCGCAAACACAAAGCAGACAATTTCAGGTCAAGATGCTTAAATGAGATATATGGAAACACTGTAAAGGAATGGCACAAATGTTGCTTTTGTCTCCGTGGGTAATTTTGTAACTTACGGTATATAATATTCAACTTGTATGCTATATCGGGGAGACGAAACGACATATTTCTGACCGAATCCGCGAGCACAAATCAGATTTGAAACACGGCAGAACGAATTCTTCGGCCGTGGCTGATCATTGTTTCAACACAGCGGGTTCTCATGACATTGTCTTCTCCGATACCAAAGTTCTCTGCAAACCTCCCGGTTATTACCAGAGATTTGTCCATGAAGCCATCCAGATACACAAACACAACTTCAACCGAGAGGATGGTTTCAAATTGAGCAACCATTGGAAAGATGTCATAAACCAAGTCAAACGTTAGCTGCCTTATCATTGTACAGCCATTTCCATTGCTCTCAGTGGGTTGTATGGCAAACTTTAGCTGCCTTATCATTGCACAGCGATTTCCATTGCTCTCTAACAAAAATGGGGTTGTAATCGCTTTTCTTTCAGTGCACCATCGCTCCCCCCAAACATCCCCTGCAGCATAACAAAAGGCGGCTTAACTCAGCCCTCCACCCCACCCACGTCCCTTTCTGGCTCCTCCCCCCCCCCTCTTAACCTGTATATATAATCCCGGTCGTCTCAAGAGCTCTCCACTTGATACAGATATTCTGCTGACTGTTCCACCTGAAGACGGAAGCTTGTGTTGCCTCTGAAACGTCGTGATTTAATTTAGTTTTCTTTTATTTTATCATACCTACGTGACTTTACCGAAAAAAACAAAGTGTATGAGTATTGTATGTAAAAGTCAATTGCAGTGAAATGGGAAAACATATACTTTTTCATAATTAGATATTTTTTTGTATATTGAAAAGTAGAGTGAGAAAGCATTGCTACATTTTACATTAGGCTCACGTTTGAAATGTATTTTGTTTAACAGGGTAAGAACTCAAGAAACACGGGGAGTTATTTGTAAGAGTGACCTGGGATATTGGTCTGCCAGTTGGGGGGCTATGGTTTGTCTATAATTCTAAACTAGTAATTTGCAGTGTAATTCTTATCAAATCTGGTACACAATGGCCTACTCTTGCGAATACATGACGTCAGTGCTTCTTAAACTTCCATTGGGAAGTAGACATCATCATCACGGTCATTACACCAGCAGTAGTCAACACAAAGCCTGCATACGTGGCCCGATCTGTAAAATATCTGTACGGACGTTGAACTTGTTTCGCACCGCACGTAGCCAACCGTGCTCATCGGAGGTGCAGGAAATGTGTCCCACGATCAAACAAGGAACCTGCAGCAACGTCTTCCTTCTGTCTTCTTGAGCGATTAAATCTGGACGCGCAAAATTCCACTTGTCAAATGAGCTCCCCGCATTCCACACCTATGGTTAATAATAAGCACTGCAGAAAACAGCATTGTACGAACGTTTTAATTAATTACAGATAACGTGGGGCTCTTTTTATTCAACTTTTCATTGCCGTGCTTAAGAATAAACTACAATAAACCTCGTGGGCTTTCGTACCTTATCGTTGTTTTAGAATTCAGTTTTCAGATAGCGAAGCAGTGAAACTCATCAAATTTTCCACCACTTTACACACACTTTGTTGAATACATACTTTTTTTAAAAATCGAGATTTAAAAGTCTTTCTTTATAACTGCTTTTGGTGTGATCAGCACAGTTGGTTACATATGGCACGAAAGAAGCTCAACGTACATTCGTACGTAAGAACAAACCGGCAAAGGTGAAATCTCATCAGGAGCAGCAATAAATGCGGACATTTAATTTTCTTCCACTGCCATCATGGAGACGTGGTCCTTGTAAAACACAAGGTTCTTGTCTGGGTCCACTGCAGCGGAAAGCATCTCCTCCATCTCCTCCTGAGTGAACGGCTCTCCTGCACAGGAGGCAGCAGACAATTCATGTTTTGCACTGGGCAGCAGCAGGGGGTGGGGGGTGAGGTGTGAACGATGCACGATTCAGGGGAGGCTGGCGTACTTGAGCAACGTTTGCAAAAGCATATGCCTCTCTAATTCAATCAATCAGGGATGTAACCGATAAAATAATGGGTGCTGCACACGCTGTGCTCTGGGGATGTGTTTCAGGACCCGTAGCCGCATGCGGAGTTTGTCCTCAAAACGACACAAATTAAATGATTTCGTGCCGGTAGCTTGTAGTTGCACGGGCACAACATGCCCGAGTGGGCATAGATTATGTGGCCACGTGCAGACTGCAACACACAGTGTGCATTTAGACAAAATGGACATCGTTAATTCAAATCCAGATATAGTCAGTAGAGCAGGCTTTGTGTTGACTACCACCGGTGTAATGACCGTGATGATGATGTCTACTTCGCAATGAAAGTTTAAGAGCCACTGACGTCATTTATTCGCAAGAGTAGGCCATTGTGTGCCAAATTTGATAAGAATTACACTGCAAATTACTAGTTTGGAATTATGGATAGGAACCCTAGCCCCCCTGGTGGTAGACCAATACCCCAGGTCACTCTTACAAATAACTCCCCGTGTTTCTTGAGTTCTTACCGTTAAATAAAACACGGAAAAGGGCCCTTTTTAGGACCAGAAAATGATCGAATGAGGTCTTCCAGTGAGCCCAACGATAAAATGTGATGACTCTCAAGACTTAAATGTGACTTTCTGACCAGAAACCTCAGGGTGACACAACGATATCACGTGAACTAACCTTCCTCCGTCATGTACCGGGTGAGCTCCTCAGGATCCAGGTACCCTTTTGCCTCACTGTCCAGCACCTAAGCACACACGCCACCCAGAATGAGTGAATGCATCGTTTAGCACGACGTTAAAAGGACAAGGGAGACAAGAGAGACAAAGTTCTGTACAGGGACTCCTCTACTTACAAACATTCAACTTACAAACTTTCAGAGATACGAACAAACCTGTCCGTATGTCCAGTTGCCTGTTCGGACCGAGAATCGTAAGTTCAACCGTTGCGCAATAGATGGCGGTGGTGGCATTTACATCTACATGACATTTTACAACTGTTAAAGCCATTCCTCGTGTTTAATGTACATGCCGTACAACATGTTTGGAATCGACAGCAGTAAAGTTGGACTTACAAACAAATCGACTTTCGAACAGACCTCTGGAACCTAAATTGTTCATAAGTAGCGGAGTCTCTGTAAAACCTTGGTGAGCACCAGTGCTAGTATCTCTGTAAAACCTTGGTGAGCACCAGTGCTAGTATCGCACCACTCTGCTGTCTCGCCTTATATTCGTGTACAGGTCCGAGTCCCACCTCCTGTAACTTCCACTACACCACCGAATAAAATATATCGGATTACCAGCGAACGTCTACGTCCACTGAACCAGCAACTTGACCAAATCAGTTTAAAATGTTCATGCTAACTTTCAAACGTGCAGTGCGAAGTGTATGCGAAGCCTTTGTGTGTATGTATGTTGGACGTCTTTCGCAACGCAAGTAGCCAACCGTGCTAATCGGAGGTACAGGGAAAGGATAACAAACGAAACACAAAACGCAGTGCTAAAGAAATGAGTTTTCAATCTATATTGAAAAGTGCATAACTCCAGTAGCTTCCTAATATTGTAAGGAAGAGCGTTCCAGACGGCCACCGAAGCGCATCTGAACACGCGCGATGCAGTGACTGTCTGTGTTGATAGCTAGCCAAAAGCCGCTGTGAGGATGACCGGAGTTTGTTTGATGGTTTATGGTTGATGCGCCTTGACGAGATCAGCAAAGTATGGAAGGTGTCTGTGTCGTCTCGCCACGAATGTTCAGCAAATGTTTCATGCAGGAAATGCAACTTGACACCCATGCACACGCCTCGCCCCCTATGTTGATTGGACTTCATGTGCAAAGGAACGCGTCCTTCCGCTGCTGTGATTCGCAATTGATTTTTGAGTTTGGCCACATATCGATCTGACCACATTAAACCCTCCACCACCAGACAGACAAACAATTTAAACCCTCGCATGGTGTACCAGCATTTAAGGCACAAATTATTGTTTTAGCTCACTGGTAAGTAGAACAATTCTCAGAACCAGATTAAATCACATTTAAATTTATACTACATTAAACATCATCGGGATCAGATCCAGGAATTCAGAATAACAATCAAGCGAAGTAAAAAATAAACCGTATCACCTGACCCAGCTGCTTGTATCAGTGGCATGCCCTCAGAAACGAACAACCAGATTTCAACAAGATATTAACCACACAAAAAATAACCCTATGCATTAAGTTCGCAGTTGCCGCCACTGCCAACAAACCGCCTGCGATTAATTCACTCTGAACGTGCCCTGATCTCCTTGGCTTAAGCATGTGTAGTGGCCTTAATGACGTCGGAGACTGTTCACTTGAGGCAACACGTATTTATTACAGACACTACAATTACAGTAGCGACCCTGATACTCGAAGAGGTAACGGCCTCTTCACCCGTACTCTGTAGAGGGAAGTGTTCCCCGAGCTTTAGCCCACGCTAGCTCCCTGGTTCCCTCTATCCTGGTCCTCTCTCAGGAGGCTATCTGACCTGGCCCAGCTTCGGCGCAGGTCCCGATCACCAGCCACACGAGTCCGGCCCTCAGAAGGACATCGGCCCTCGCGGCTCTGGTGTCGCACCCTGGCTTGCTTTGCCCGGCCCCAAAAAGGGCAGCGGGTCAAAGGAGTTCCAGGGTCTGGCTAGTCGGTCTTCGTTCTTCACTGGCTCTTCATCTTGACTGGGTCGAACTCCCCCTCAGCTCTCCGGCTCCCACCTTTTATACTGTCCCTCACTGAGGGGCGGGGCTGGGAGGGATCACAGCATCCCCCACAGCCCCCCAAGGGTGGTGGCCGTAGCGGACGTGTTTGTGGCCACCGTTACACAACCGCGTGTCACCCTCCCGTAACACCTCTACACATGCAAGTGCCGTACCGATGCTTCATTGTGCGAAAGAAGTTAAAACGCACATACAGTGGTACCTCGGTATACGTCGTTAATTCGTTCCAGAAGGTGTAGGACTTACACCGAAAATGACGAATATACCAAACGAATTTTTCCCAAAAGAAATAAAGGAAAAGGAAATTATCCGTTCACGAGTATAAGAAATAATATTTTATATGGCGTATTATACATTAATGGGGTTGTATAACATAATTGAGACACTACTTATTACTAAAATGCATACAGAAATTAAAAGAAATACATAAATACATTTAAATAATTATTGGTTCTTTCGGTAAAGTCACGTAGAAGGGAAACAATAAAATAAAAAATACAAAAATTATATTGTTTTATATTTTTATTATTTTAATGTTTCCCTTCTACGTGACTTTACCGAAAGAACCAAGAATATGAATCCCTGCAGTCACGAAAGCTTTAAATCAAAATTAAAATGAATGTATCTCTTTTTTCACGTCAACAGTGATCCTAACCATTATCTTTGTAGCTTGGCTTTTCTCACTAACTTTCTTAGGACCCATCTTGAATTAATTCGTAAGAAAATTAACGTTAAAAATGACACAAAAAACACCACGTGAAAATTCACAGAGTTATAGCAAGGGTTGTGCACTGAACGATATCTACAGGCAGACTGAGGTGCGGCGCTTTGTTTCAGTCGTGAACGGGGTCTACGCGGGTACGCGGTGACTCATCCCGACCCATACAAGTTCTAGCAAGCGTGTCGTATCCCAAGCAAGACGTCGTATCCCAAGACATTTTTTTCTCGTCAAAACACGACGTATACCAAATTCGACGTATTCCAAAGCGGTCGTATACCGAGGTATGACTGTACATGGATACAACATCCACGTGGTCTGGGCAGCCATCGGTGGACGGCTGCAGAGACCGCAAGGAGCCGGCAGGTGGCAATAAAACAAAACGTGTGCCACACTCACTGGGTTGAGGCTGTGGATTCAATCTGTGCCGAGCTCTCTTGAGCAGGAAGTTCTCTGGGCTAACCCCCAGTTTACTGTCACTTGCCAACACACTCGCGTACAATGACTTGGCCAACAACGTAATGACGTCCTTCCAATGATTGCTGAGTCATCAACCACTTTAATTCATAACTGGTTGATTTATATGCTTAGCTCTTTCGTTAAAGTCACGTTGAAGGGAAACAATAAAATAATAATATATATATAACAATGAAAATTCTCACAACGTTTCGACCATAACACAAACGGTCGTCGTCACACCTGATGACGACCGTTTGTGTTATGGTCGAAACGTCGTGAGAATTTTTATTGTTTTATATATGTTTTATTATTTTATTGTTTCCCTTCAACGTGACTTTACCGAAAGAGCTAAGAATATGAATTACTGCAGTCACGAAAGCTTTAAATCAAAATTTAACTGGTTGATTGTTTTCCCTGTCACCTTTCATGCTTCACCTTGGTGGTCTCTGACCCCAGGCACATATGCCCCGCCCACTTCGTTCTGATACCAGGACGCTTGTGCCACGCCCATTTTTAAGCCTTTAAAAACAGCTTGCCTTCAGTGGCCCTCCCCCTTTTTCCTCCTGGTGACGATCGCTTGTGTTGAGATTTAAACGTCGTAGTTTTTATTTTATTTACTTTAATTTTTTTCTATCTACGTGACTTTACCGAAAGAACCAAAGAATATGAATTCCTTTAGTCACGAAAGTTAAGTAAAATTTTTGACTCATTGTGTATATAAGTTATTAATATTATTATTTCTTATTGAAGTGTTCAACTCACAGCCATACAAGTGTGCAACAACCTGGGACGCGGCCTCGGTGTGCATCTACAGTACAACCGCATTTAGTTTTTTAGGTTATGTTTTGCTTTTCCAAATGATTTTCTAAATAACCGATTACATTTTCCTACATATATTAACCCTCGCGGCGCTCCGACTGCCTTAACGCCATTATTATGGTAACCGTGTCTTTCTGACAAAGTCAAAAAATCATTTTTTGTAATTTCCTGTTGCTCAACTCGGAATTGAAATGGTGCTCATCTCCCGTACACTACCCTGAGCCAATGGTGGAAATTCCAAATTCCTATGGCAAGGCTAAGTGTATCCAGAACACAACCATGTTTGTCTTCACCACAAATTTGTCTTAATTGTATCGACCCTGGAGGGATGATGGGCTCCGTCTAAACTATTAACTAAACTATTTTTGTTTTATTTTTTGATTTACCAGGTAAGGCGCAACTGAGCTGTATATCTCTTTTTCAGAAGCAACCTAGCCACAAATGATAGCTCAATGAAGTGGCTTATCACGTGAAAATGTACTTTATAGCAGCCAAGTTCTCTAAACGCGTGACATTGATTCTAAATGTGGAGTGAAAAACCAAGAGGACTCAGAGATTAATCCACACGACCACGGGGTAGAGAGAGAGAGAGACGTGAAAATCTCAAATATACAGCAGGCGTCAGGGTCAGGATCAAACCCACGACCGCATACATACCACGCCAGGTAGTTAACATCTCGCCGCCGTGGCGCCCCCAACTAAAATTTGAACTCGCAACCTTGCGATTGCGAGCTGCTCACTCCACCACTGAGCCACCAGGCTGGGTTTCAATGCATTTGGTTCAAGAAAGGACGGTGCCTGCTAAATTGACAAAGTTAATGATCAAATGTCACACCTCCTGGCTTTGACATTCCTTCTCGAAGACACTGCTGTAACCATTAACCTCATCAGAACATACAAAGACTGATGCACACATATCCTTCATAGCGCGATTGTGGCCATACAACCCAAGCTTCGGGTCAAACAGTAATCCACTGGAGTCTTCGCTCCTTCAACGAAGGGATAAGAAACTACACGGACACTCCCGTGAAGCCCTCCCGTGGCGAGCAGACCTCGACATTGGCATTTTAGCTCCTGAGAATATTGCTGCCATGCACAAGAGCAGAGCAGTGTTCATAATTGTCAGGCAATACAATTACTATGGATGGTGTCACAGATGGCAATGAGATCAAAGGAAGCGAGAGCCATGATAGGATGGAAGGAGATCGTTTCAACGATAATGAAGAGCAAGCAGTTCCTCTGTAAACCGTCAGTGCAATAGTTTCGCTTGCCTGGAAAGCACGCAGAATAGCATCCTCCGGTATTGATCGGTACCTGCACACAGACAAGAGATAATGCGGTATTTGTTTAACACATAGGATTTCGCGACCAATATTATCCATAATACAGATTTTTTTTTGGGGTTAGATCGCGTATATATATGAATGTGTCATTAAACCCGCCACCACTCGACACAGCCAATTAGTAAGGTTTGTCATGTAAACAGAACATGACAATTCGTTTCTAGTACAGCACACCAGTGTGTTGGAGAGCCAAGCCACAACATTTACAATCTGAGTACGACGTTTCGCCAGTAATGATATAGCACGTGAGTTGAAATTCACTAACGTTCTTTGAAGACGTACCCCACTTAAATTAAACTTTAAACACAGTGGAGCATCTCTACCTTCTCTCCATCAACACCTTGGTGATCATGGGAAGGAATTTCTCCAACCTAATGTAGCCTGTAGGTTCCTCCTCCTCGATCTGTGGTGACATTTGGAAAAAAACAATAGCCTTTAGCGCATGCGATGGAACGGTCATCAACACTGCGAAGAAACTGGTGAAGAACACCAAGGTTATTGACGAAAATTTATTGACAAGTACTTGTGCAGATGTTAACATAACTCTACTATTCATATGAGTATTTGTTTGCATCATTGCCTTTGTCAACTATGTACTGTGTTCAAACAATTGAAGTCCATTCGTGCTGGAGACGAGGGCGGTCTGCCTCGCAGCTGAGAGACAAATTTACAGGAAATGCATACCTGTCAACCCACACAGGTGTACACATTCTTGTACAGGGAAACTGAATTGTCAGGTCCATACGGCGTACAGCCGTTTCAATACGGGCAAAACATGTTTTTGTCTGTTTATTTGTGTTTCTCCCTTGTGATGGGACTTTGTAGGATGAACGTTGAAATTTATAGGGGCACGGGGTGATCAATAAGGTCTGAATTGGTCTGTAATAACGTAGACACTGATAAGGGTTGACAGGTATGGAAATGCGACATCGTCCACATTAAATTTTGATTTAAAGCTTTCGTGACTGCAGTAATTCATATTCTTAGTTTTTTCGGTAAAGTCACGTTGAAGAGAAACAACAAAATAACAAAATATATATAAAACAATAAAAAATTCTCACGACGTTTCGACCATAACTCAAACGGTCATCATCAGGTGTGTCGGTTTGCATAAATTTATTTTGAAAACGGCAGATTTATTTATATATATAAAAAAATAACGTTTGCGTCACGCGCAACGATTGGCAGTTTGCCCAGGACTAGTCCATCTATTTTTTGAAAAGAGGAGGGGGGAGACGAAATTTGTTTTTATGTATGCTGTCTGAAAGCCACTGTAAGCGTGAACAATCAATCAAGAACTGAAATGATTTATCAAATCTTTCCAATGATTGCTAAGATAGAATCCATCTTCTCGGTTGAAATTGTCTCTGTGCTTGTATATGTGGATAGCCTCATGAACGAATCTCTCATGGAAGCCAGATGGCTTACAAAGAACCTCCGTCTTGGAAAAGTCAATGGCATGTGAGCCTACTGAATTAGAACAATGATCTGCTACGGCCGAGGTGTTGGTCCTACCGTGTTTAAGGTCTGCTTTATGTTCACGAATGCGGTCCGAGATATGGCGTTTGGTTTCTCCAATGTAACTACTACCACAGAGGCAACTTAGTTTGTAGACACCAGGGTATTGGTGTTGGCGATTAATTACGACTTTATTAACGTCTAACTTTTTGGTGTGTGGGTCCGGTCTTTTGTTGAAGAGGAGGTTAAATTTGGAAATCAGGTTTCCCTTACATTTGGTCGACATAGTAGCAGCTGAAGAGGCAGTCATATTGTCTACATGTTCCCAATTAATCGCAGTAACAGTTCTATTTCCGATGGTCTGAAATCCGTTTTAGCTAAAGGTCTAAACTTTGTAGTCACACCTAAACACATACCAGTTAATGATATAATTGCCCAAGTAGACGTTGCTCTCAGGGGCCTGGGTCACATCGCTGCAGACGTAGCAAGATCTGAAATCGCTGCAACCCTCAAAAACGCTAAGATGCCAGCTAGCAACCTCAGCAAAGATGAGCGTTTTGAATTATATAAATTAAAAAAGAGGAATGATATTGTAGTTCTCTCAGCTGACAAAGGCAATGCTACTGTCATCATGGATAAAATAGAATACAACAACAAAATTAAAGAATTACTCGACGATGGTAGTTATACAAAAATAAAAAGAGATCCCACCAACAGCCTCGTCACACAAACCAACAAAATAATTTCTGATTCAACCGCATTAATTGATCAATCTAAACAGTTTTCGTTGAAACCTTCTGCTGCCAGGCCACCAAGATTATACGGCTTACCAAAAATACATAAAGTTGATACACCTCTTCGTCCCATAGTCTCTACTATCAGCTCCCCCACCTACAAACTAGCTCGTTTTTTGTCTGAAATCCTGCGTCCTTTCACTGGAAAGACCACCTCTGCGGTACAAAATTCTACTCACCTGGTATCAACAATCAAGGGTATTTCCCTGTCCCCAGACGACCTGCTTGTCAGTTTTGATGTAGTGTCCTTATTCACCAAGGTTCCTGTACCTGACACCATTGCAATCATTGAAGACTTGGTTCATCAAGGACTAAACACTGAGGTACCCCCCCTGGTGAGACACTGTTTAACCAATACATACTTCACTTGGAATGGAACTTTCTACAAACAAACTGAGGGCACCCCAATGGGCTCCCCCCTTTCTCCAGTTATAGCTAACATTTTCATGGAGAAATTTGAGACTGACGCCATCCAGACTGCCACTCTGCGCCCAACCTTATGGAAGAGGTACGTGGATGACACTTTTGTCATCTGGCCACATGGCCGGCCTGCTCTAGACCAATTCTTCGACCACATCAATTCCATACACCCAGCCATCAGATTTACCATGGAAGTCGAAATAGATGGCAAGATACCTTTTTTGGATGTCCTAATTAAAAAGAGACCTGATGGTTCAATGAGCCACTCTGTCTACAGGAAAGCTACCCATACGGATGCTTATCTGAAACCGGATTCCCACCACCATCCATCACAGAAGAATTCTCTCATCAAGACTCTGTATCATAGAGCCCAATGCATATCCGACCAGGAACACATAAGCAGTGAACTCAAGCACGTACACCAAGCTCTTAGGGCTAATGGTTACTCCGACTATACAATCCGCAAAGCTATCACTCAAACCATGAAGAAGAACCCTCTTGAGGAGCCTTTCAAAACCATCACTTTACCCTACATTGCTGGGATCACAAAAAAGATCTCCAAAATCTTGAATAAACACAAGATCCAGGTCCGTTTCAACACATTACATAAATCCGTGATCTGGTTCCGTCTGTAAAAGATGTGATTCCGGACATACAATACCCTGGTGTCTACAAACTAAGTTGCCTCTGTGGTAGTAGTTACATTGGAGAAACCAAACGCCATATCTCGGACCGCATTCGTGAACATAAAGCAGACCTTAAACACGGTAGGACCAACACCTCGGCCATAGCAGATCATTGTTCTAATTCAGTAGGCTCACATGCCATTGACTTTTCCAAGACGGAGGTTCTTTGTAAGCCATCTGGCTTCCATGAGAGATTCGTTCATGAGGCTATCCACATATACAAGCACAGAGACAATTTCAACCGAGAAGATGGATTCTATCTTAGCAATCATTGGAAAGATTTGATAAATCATTTCAGTTCTTGATTGATTGTTCACGCTTACAGTGGCTTTCAGACAGCATACATAAAAACAAATTTCGTCTCCCCCCTCCTCTTTTCAAAAAATAGATGGACTAGTCCTGGGCAAACTGCCAATCGTTGCGCGTGACGCAAACGTTATTTTTTTTATATAAATAAATAAATAAATATGCCGTTTTCAAAATAAATTTATGCAAACCGACACACCTGATGATGACCGTTTGAGTTATGGTCGAAACGTCGTGAGAATTTTTTATTGTTTTATATATATTTTGTTATTTTGTTGTTTCTCTTCAACGTGACTTTACCGAAAAAACTAAGAATATCATCCACATTGTTTATTCTCTGTTTTCAATCGTCTGTAGAGAAGTTGCATGTTGCTTCTCCATAGAGCCCAAATTTAATCGCGTTCACGCAGAAATTCCACGGAGAGGCGAGTCGAGTGATATATTTATTACATTTGTGATTTCCAGAAGCCAAGGAGGATGGCTTTCTGGCATGACCAGAAGCCTACCCTCAAATGCCAGGTTTAATAAATTATAGGATTTATAAAGCGCCCTTTCCAGGGAAGATTAGATTTATCGTGTAATATTGACGTCAACCTTAGTACTCCACCTGAGTATTACTATACAACTAAAATGTGTATCAATTGCTGTTTAAGACCAATACATTTTAAGCTGTGTGAGTGTATATATACTGTATACGTCTTATAAATAATATTCAGGACAAGTATTACTCACCTCTGCCAGAACATCATGGATCTCACCTTCTGTAGGACAGCATCCCAAAGATCTGATGATGGTGCCAATTTCCCTGTGGTAAACCCACGTGTTAGTCTCCACATCGACTCTGGCATGCAGTTCTTCAGGTGGAGTATTACTACTTTAGAACATTAGTTACCGGACAGCGCAGTACAGAACTGTACGTATGTATGTTGAATTTTTTTCGCACCGTACGTAGCCAACCGTGCTAATCGGAGTTGTGGGCGAAAGACAACAAACTAAACGAAAAAAGCAGTTCTAATTTTTTTATTTTTAATCTAGATTTAAAAATGCATAGCTCCAGTGGCTTCCTAGTATCAGAAGAGCGTTCCAGACGGCCGTAGAAGCGCATCTGAAAGCGTGCGATGCGGTGGCCATCTTTATTCGACAGTGAGCCAAAAGCCGCTGCTGCGAGGATAACCGGAGTTTTCTTGATGGTTTATGCTCCTCAACGAGATTGGAAAGGTATTGTGGTTCATTTGTGGGAAGCACTTTGTGTGTATTGAGTGCGAGACTGCCTGGCGAATGACATATCTGAGCAGTGTGCAAACATGGCCTCGAGGTAGCGTTGACATGGTTTGTTGCAGTTGAATCCAGCAGCTACCCTGATTAAAGCTGTGGGTGTATTAACCGTAAAATATTTGCCGTACAATTCACAGTAGGTTGACAAACACTCCGCAACGTTATTTGAAAAAAGTGTAGGACACGTGTGGGTGTCAGCTTTACGGTCAATTTATTTTTAAAAATGACCCGTGAATTAATTAACAGAGTAAACACAAGTGAGGAAACCCAGCCTCTACTGGCAGACTATACTCGTCTGTGAAAACTATTTTTTTTATTTTACCAGGTAAGGCCCACTGAGCCGTGTAGCTCTTTTTCAGAAGTCACCTGGTCACAATGCAGTGGAATATCACGTGGAAATTTATAGCAGCCAAACACTCTAAACGCGTGATGTTGATTCTATCATCCCACCATAGGGATAACCTTATACATTGCGCATGGCGTGAATACCAAATATGTTCAATTATTCATAACAGTAACTCACCCTGTATTTAGCGTTTTGCAATTACAATTCAACAATTGTTCGTGCAGAAACTGGCCGAGATGTAACTCTATAATTGTAGCGAAAGATTATCGTCTGAAAAAGTATAATTATCAAAGCAGCCAAAATGCATTCATTGGGTTGGGAAAATCGTGGAAAAGAGAAACATGAAATCATCATGGATGGATCAAGTCACCAAGTCCCAATTTCTCCAGCGATGCTCAATGTATCGAGTTTAAAGACGTGTACGCAAGGCCTCGTGAGAACAGTGTGGATACGGTATTTAAATAAACCCGGAAGAGCTGACCTCACATCGACCGTCTTGTTACCCTCGTGGTCAAACACGTCGAAAGCTTCAGTAACTCTCTTGTGGATGTCCGCCACCATGGTCTCTACAGAAGCAAACACGGGGAATGGAAATCAACCTCGCAAGAATGGAATGACATGTCGTCAACACACTCGCAAAGGCCCTAAATCCCCATGGTCTCCGATTTCGGTGGCACTGTGCGGCGACGTGGGCCAGCGGTAGCGAGTTAACTGCTTGCTTATCACCCCCCCCCCTTCGTCACACATCGTCACAAATGTCTGACCCCCCCCGCCACCCTAGGTGCGTGACATCATTTATGAACGGCCCCTATGCAGGAAGTTGTGGGTTCGAACCCGACCCTGACGCCTGCTAGTATAATAGTAGTTTGTATGTTCGCCCCGTGGTCGTGTGAGCTACCAGTTGTGGGCAGGTCGCTTCTGAAGGAAAGAGAGCGACCGTACTGGGAGTCGGTTTCAGGTTTTTTAAAGTTTCATTTATTTGGTAGAGCCCTGTGAGCCATTCGGCTCTTGAATCGGGTGCAACCGCAACAAACAAAAAAAACATGAACAAGAAAACATCTTAAAGTGACTATGTATGACTGTGCAAACAGAAAATCCATGGAAAAAACTGCAAAAATATTCCAGAAAAAGCACCGTACACCAACTCTGTGTGCAAAAATCCCAGTGGGATGCAAGTCAAACAACAACCACAAGAACCACAAGACAACTTAGATTAAGGCCATCCGTCTAACTCCGTACTACAACAAACAAACATGGCCAAACCAAAAAAAAGTTTTCGAAATCACCAAAATAAAGTCATAAAAGCAACGTAACAGTGATCATAGGAACTGTGACCGAAAAATTCACAATAAACGACGTCAACAACATGTACCACCAAATCCTGCAGCCGTAGCTGGCTGCATGAGTCACTCCACAACAACAGGAGCATCAGTCGGGGTATCAACATTTTTCAATGCACCTTTTTATATAATTACAATACCCACCCCCTCCGTCTAAAATCACTGCACCTGAATGAGTTAAATGATGACGCCACTCTGCTGCTGCTCTCTTTAAGACCGGGAGCACGTGGAGGGCTTCAACATTCTGGCGAATCGCCCATGATGCTGGGGATGTAATTACCAGCGAAACGTCGTACTACCGTTAAAACTGTAAATGTTGTGGATTCACTCTTCAACAACACACCGGTGTGGGGCTAAAGCGGTGAACTATTTTGTCTTTTGTCAACGTGACACTTTTTTTGCTGATTGGCCGTGTCGGGTGGTGGAGGGTTTACGACACATTTATAAGTAACGCGATCTCACCCAAAAACCTTTATTATGAATAATATTGGTCGCGAAAGCCTCCTACTACGTGTTAAACTGACACTAAATCAAAATACAGTCGACTCCTAGCTCGCAATCGTTACGATGTATCGCGGTGTAAAAGTGGCTCAGGGTTTTAAATCTCTCCATGACGTTTACCGATCGTCGTGCACACTAATCACTTGTTTACACGCCACCGTTCGATCGTTATCGATTAATCGACACAGCCCCGAGGTTTGTTGCCCGGATCGTCGGCAAGCGGCCGTCGTTCACCTGCGTTCTCCTTCTGTTCAGACATCTCGGTGACGCTCACGATGATGAAGATGATGATGACGAAGTTGACGATAATAAAGATGACGACAATTATCCGCCGCGTTTACCCTCCGCTCCTCTGTCTCCTGGGATTCTGCTGTCCCCTCAACTCTTCCTCAACCCCCCACAGCCTTCAGTCCCCAACACTGACGATGTCCTTGCTCCTCTCGGCTCCTTCTCCTCGATTCCTCTACTCCGTCTGCGTTCCCATTCTCTGCTCCTCTTTCGCTCTCTCCTCTTCCTCCTCCTCCCAACTGTCGCTCTCTCTTCTGTCACTCTCCCCTGTTACTCTCTCTTCTGTTACTCTCCCCTGTTACTCTCTCTTCTGTTACTCTCCCTTGTTACTCTCCTCTGTGATTCTCCCCTGTCACTCTCTCCCCTGTTACTCTCCCCTGTCGCTCTCTCCCTGTTGCTCTCTCTCCTGTTACTCTCTCCTCTGTGATTCTCCCCTGTCACTCTCTCCCCTGTCACTCTCCCCTGTTACTCTCCCCTGTCACTCTCTCCTCTGTGACTCTCCCCTCTGTCACTCTCTCCCTGTAACTCTCTCCCTGTCGCTCTCTCCCTGTCGCTCTCCCCTCTGTCACTCTCTCCCTGTCGCTCTCTCCCTGTCGCTCTCTCCTCTGTTACTCTCTCCCCTGTTACTCTCCCCTCTGTCACTCTCTCCCTGTCACTCTCTCTCTCTCTGTCGCGCTCTCCTCTGTGATTCTCCCCTGTCGCTCTCTCCCTGTTGCTCTCCCCTGTTACTCTCCTCTGTGACTCTCCCCTCTGTCGCTCTCCCCTCGTTGCTTGACAACCACCAGCAGCGTCCCAGCTACGCGCTCTGATTGGTTCCTTGGCGCGTCCCGCGCAACCAATCGGCAGGGGGGCTCCGCGTGCTCAAGAAGCCACGGCGATTCACAGCCCCACAGCCAATCCGGGCAGCGATGAAATTACCGCAGTCCCTTAATGTTATTTTAAGGCCCAACATTTAAATAACTCGACACGTTCGTCAATAACGCGTCGAGTTGTTTTGCTACGTGCGGGTGTACACCATTGCCAGCGCAGTATCTCACTACATCGTTTGTTTTATATCATTTTTAAAATTATATACTGGCGCTGTATTCCTGGTTGACTTCCTTCCAAGCAGACGTGCGCGCGCGGTGACGTCACCACAGTCTGCGTGATGACGTCACTCTCAATCCGGACGCTTGTGCGTGATGACGTCACTTCCCCCCCCACCCATTCTCCACCCCGGGTGAGTTTAAACTAAATCTGCTTAAATCTTGACTTCGGGGCCGTTCATAAATGAAGTTATGCGATTTTGTAGGATTTTTGACCCCCCCCCCACCCTCATTCTTGGTTCTTTCAGTAAAGTCACCACGTAGAAGGGAAACAATAAAATAATAAAAATATAAAACAATAAAATTCTCACGACCTTTCGACTGCAACACAAGCAATCATCATCAGGTGTGAAAACCTCGTCACGCGGCGTCACAAAAAGTCAGACCCCCCCCTCAAATATGACGTCACAAAGCTCTGCCCCCCCCCCCCCCCAAAACACCATATTTCCATTTTGAAAATAAAGCATGTTTCAAATCGCTTTAAACTATTGTCATTGTACTCTTTGGTTCTTTCGGTAAAGTAACGTAGGTAAAATGAGTTGTACCTGTGGTGATTGCTATATCGGGGAGACGAAACGACATTTCTGACCGAATCCGCGAGCACAAATCAGATTTGAAACACGGCAGAACGAATTCTTCGGCCGTGGCTGATCATTGTTTCAACACAGCGGGTTCTCATGACATTGTCTTCTCCGATACCAACGTACTATGCAAACCTCCCGGTTATTATCATAGATTTGTCCATGAAGCCATCCAGATATACAAACATAAACACAACTTCAACCGAGAGGATGGTTTCAAATTGAGCAACCATTGGAAAGATGTCATAAACCAAGTCAAACGTTAGCTGCCTTATAATTGTACAGCCATTTCCATTGCTCTCAGTGGGTTGTATGTACTGGTGTATCTCTCCCCCCGAACCCCCTGCAGCATAACAAAAGGCGGCTTAACTTAGCCCCTCCCCCTCCCCACCCACGTCCCTTCCTGGCTCCTCCCCCCCCCTTAACTCAGCCCTCCCCCCACCCACGTCCCTTCTTGGCTCCTCCCCCCCCTTAACTCAGCCCTCCCCCTCACCCAAGTACCTTCCTGGCTCCTCCCCCCACTTAACTCAGCCCTCCCCCCGCCCACGTCCCTTCTTGGCTCCTCCCCCCCCCCTTAACTCAGCCCTCCCCCCCACCCAGGTACCTTCCTGGCTCCTCCCCCCGCTTAACTCAGCCCTCCCCCCACCCACGTCCCTTCTTGGTTCCTCCCCCCCCCCCTTAACTCAGGCCTCCCCCCCACCCACGTCCCTTCCTGGCTCCTCCCCCCCCTTAACTCAGCCCTCCCCCCACCCACATCCCTTCTTGGCTCCTCCCCCCCCTTAACTCAGCCCTCCCCCCCACCCACGTCCCTTCCTGGCTCCTCCCCCCCCCCTTAACTCAGCCCTCCCCCCACCCACGTCCCTTCTTGGCTCCTCCCCCCCCTTAACTCAGCCCTCCCCCCCACCCACGTCCCTTCCTGGCTCCTCCCCCCCTGACCTGTATATATAATCCGGCTGTCTCAGCTGTCCACTTGACACAGATATTCTGCTGTGACTGTTCCACCTGAAGACGGAAGCTTGTGTTGCCTCCGAAACGTCGTGATTTAATTTAGTTGTTTTATTTTATTTTACCTACGTGAATTTACCGAAAAAAACAAAGAGTATGAATCCTTGCAGTCACGAAAGCTTCAAATCTATAATATTGTCATTGTAGTGCGTATTTAATGTGGTGCTGCACTCTGATGTTGTAGGAATGTTGTTATAACAATTATTTAGTTATTATATAAATTATATATTTATTTGAAGTTGTGCATTTTGATGTGACGTCACATTTCTCAACCACCCCCCTAGGTGTGTGACGTCATTTATGGACGGCCCCTTAAAGCTTTTGTATGGCTGCTGCTACTGCTGCTGATGTAGATGCAGAGCAACACGACTACAATGTCACGTTCAGATGGTCAAGCCAGCAGATAACCACGTCAGGAGCAAGCGGAGTCGTGTATCATCATCATTATGGCTGTGATGTCTCCTTCTTCGTATTCGTGGATCGGGCGAGGGGGGCATTGCGTCGTTCCACGTTGTGCTCCGGTCTCTGTTATGGATGACCGCAGTCGCCACACTACTACTGGAGAGTTTTGTGCATCATCATCATCAGGGTATCGGCATCTTGCTGCTGCCGTGGTTTGTGCAGTGGATGCGGTTGAGAGTGGACCGTGAGCAGCTTCGTGGACGATCAAACCCCTGGGGATCGTCCGCGTTGGGTCTTTCACTGAGGCGGCGCGTGCGTGTGCGCGTGTGCGGCTCACTCAGAGGAGGAGTTGGAGACGCTGCTGCTGAAACTGGAGCGTGCCACTAAGAGGTGGGGCCTTGCCATCAGCCCCACCAAAACTTAGCACTTGCCTGGGTATTTTGTACCATCGGACACTCCACCCCCACAACTCCCAATCGGTGATGGGGCAGTTGTGGAGAGAGTGGAGAGTTTCCCATATCTGGGCAATGTGCTCATGACCGGCTCCGGTTTAACAGCAGAGGTCTAACTCCGAATCAGTCGAGCGGCAATATCTTTTCATCGGTTGCGTAACGCTGTGTGGAAGGTACCTGGTCTGTCTCTCCGCACGAAGCTTCGGGTCTTCTCGGCTACGGTAATTTCCCTCCCTTCTCTACGCTTGCGAAACCTGGACCCCCCTAATGGAACATCTTCGCCGGTTAGAAACATTTAAGTTGGCCTTCCTACGATCTATCCTGTGTTTAACCAGGCTGGATTGTGTGAGGAGCTCACAAATCCTTGAAAGATTTGGGCAAGGTCCGATCGGTGAGCTCCTCCGGCAGGCAAGGCTGCGTTGGCTGGGTCATGTAGCCCGCATGCCCAGCCACCGCATGCCTAAACAGCTTTGGTTCGGCCGGATCGAGGGGGCTAAGCGGGCACGTCACGGGCTAGAGAAGAGATGGAGTGATGTTGTGCAGAAGGACGTGGAGCTGGGTGGACTTGCCGATGAGCGGTACCAGCGGTGTCAAGATCGGCCTCTGTGGAGGAGGCTCGTGAAGGACGCTACTGGACAGTTGGAGGCAGTCGCCCTCCAACAACAACGGAGGGGGGAGGAGCGACACTCACAACAACGAGTGGAACGCCGGGTGGCTAATGCACAGCAAGTTGGCACAGTAGGGGGCACAGGTGGTGCATCAGCCACTCGTCTCAGTCAGTCGACCCGTGGCATCTGGGTCTGCCCGGTGACCTCCTGCCAGCGGGAGTTCGACACTTCACGTGGCCTCAAGGTGCACCTAGCCTGGCACAAGCGTCGTGGTGACGTCACCGCCACTTAGTGGCGAATGGCGGTTGTTGTGTGTGTGTGCGAGTTCTTTTGAACTCCTTTCAGCTCTCCCAAGTTTCATCGGGGATGAACTCGCATCGTTCAATGCTGATAGTACAGTGAGTGTACGTTTGCCCACTGACAAAGAAATGATCAGTCTATAATTTTAATGGTTGCTTTATTTGAACAGTGAGAGACAGAATAACAACAACAAAATCCAGAAAACCGCATGTCAAAAATGTTATAAATTGATTTGCATTTTAATGAGGGAAATAAGTATTTGACCCCCCGCAATCAGAAAGATTTCTGGCTCCCAGGTGTCTTTTATACAGGTAACGAGCTGAGATTAGGAGCACACTTAAAGGGAGTGCTCCTAATCTCAGCTTGTTACCTGTATCAAAGACACCTGTCCACAGAAGCAATCAATCAATCAGATTCCAAACTCTCCACCATGGCCAAGACCAAAGAGCTCTCCAAGGATGCCAGGGACAAGATTGTAGACGTACACAGGGCTGGAATGGGCTACAAGACCATTGCCAAGCAGCTTGGTGAGAAGGTAACAACAGTTGGTGCGATTATTCGCAAATGGAAGAAACACAAAATAACTGTCAATCTCTCTCGGCCTGGAGCTCCATGCAAGATCTCGCCTCGTGGAGTTGCAATGATCATGAGAACGGTGAGGAATCAGCCCAGAACTACACGGGAGGATCTTGTCAATGATCTCAAGGCAGCTGGGACCATAGTCACCAAGAAAACAATTGGTAACACACTATGCCGTGAAGGACTGAAATCCTGCAGCGCCCGCAAGGTCCCCCTGCTCAAGAAAACACATACATGCCCGTCTGAAGTTTGCCAATGAACATCTGAATGATTCAGAGGACAACTGGGTGAAAGTGTTGTGGTCAGATGAGACCAAAATGGAGCTCTTTAGCATCAACTCAACTCGCCGTGTTTGGAGGAGGAGGAATGCTGCCTATGACCCCAAGAACACCATCCCCACCGTCAAACATGGAGGTGGAAACATTATGCTTTGGGGGTGTTTTTCTGCTAAGGGGACAGGACAACTTCACCGCATCAAAGGGACGATGGACGGGGCCATGTACCGTCAAATCTTGGTGAGAACCTCCCTACCTCAGCCAGGGCATTGAAAATGGGTCGTGGATGGGTATTCCAGCATGATAATGACCCAAAACACACGGCCAAGGCAACAAAGGAGTGGCTCAAGAAGAAGCACATTAAGGTCCTGGAGTGGCCTAGCCAGTCTCCAGACCTTAATCCCATAGAAAATCTGTGGAGGGAGCTGAAGGTTCGAGTTGCCAAACGTCAGCCTCGAAACCTGAATGACTTGGAGAAGATCTGCAAAGAGGAGTGGGACAAAATCCCTCCTGAGATGTATGCAAACCTGGTGGCCAACTACAGGAAACGTCTGACCTCTGTGATTTCCAACAAGGGTTTTGCCACCAAGTACTAAGTCATGTTCTGCCGAGGGGTCAAATACGTATTTCCCTTATTAAAATGCAAATCAATTTATAACATTTTTGACCTGCGTTTTTCTTGATTTTTTTGTTGTTATTCTGTCTCTCACTGTTCAAATAAACCTACCATTATATTTATAGACTGATCATTTCTTTGTCAGTGGGCAAACGTACAAAATCAGCAGGGGATCAAATACCTTTTTCCCTCACTGTATAACGCAAAAAATAACAGAAATGTTTCATTGTTCCTTTCAGAGAAAGAGGAAACAAAGAGTTGACTCCGGCTCAGTTGAATATTAATTCGCGTACAATTCCTCATTTTTTTTCTCTGCATGCCGAACAAAAGTACGGGGTTTCGTGGTCACGTGCCCATGCCTCCAGGCAGTTTCACCCACAGGGAGTTTCCTTCTTGCGGTTTTTGCGCTCTCCCAAGCGGGTTGATGCTCTCGCATCGTAGAAGGTTGAGCGCACGGGGTCCAAAAACGCGAGAGCGCGACTTCCAACGATGTCGAGGGACGTTCATTTGAGGTTCCTGGTGAGTGGACAGGGGCGACTGTATTCCCTCGACTCGCAGGGGACTTCCGGAGGGTTGCAGCGGCGCGGCGGATTTGGGTGTGGGCGAGTTTTGCGACGGTTTTAGAAATGAAGATAGGGTATTGTAAAAAGGTGGTCCAGATGTCTCGTGACCCCCCCCCCCCCCCCCCCCATTAAATTTCTCGCAAACGTAATATTTTTCGTGTGAAAGCAGAAATTAGTCAGCATTTGTTAGGGGTCAATTCATGGGGGGGGGGGGGGGGGGGGTCACAAGACATATTGACCACCCTGTAGATTGATTGACTTTAAAATATTGAAACGGATATACACAGGCACGGCTATCCGGCAGCACCATTCGCTATTGTCCCCTCGGAGCTCGCCACCCGCTCCCCGTGTCCGTGGCCACGGCTGCTCACACAGCCACTGACTCCTCGCCCTCGGCCCGAACTCGCTCCCGTGTGTGTGTTGAACTTCGTTAGCACCGTACGTAGCCAACAGCGCTAATTAGAGGTGCAGGAACCTTCCAGTGACTTCTGCATCGGATCCTGGCCACGATATCTGCACCCACAGGCAGTGTTTGTTGGTAGAGATACTCGTTATGAGCCAGAAAGGAAATTGGTAACCACGAGACTAGTGGTATCCGTTTGTTTGCAAGACGAATACGAGTTAATTACTTGATAATACCACTCAATTCAAATGGTTATGGCACAATTCACTTATTGGCCACACATTGGAACCGCTCCGAACTCATGGAAAAATTGAAATACTCTAAAATGCGTATAGAGTATGTGGCTGCATTAAATCTCCACAAGATAAGCCACTTCGTTGAGCAATCATGTGTGGCCAGGTCGCTTCTGAAAAGAGCCGTATAGCTTAGTGGGCCTTGCCTGGTCAAATAAAAATGTGTAACCATGGTTACTGCGTCCCAAGTGCACAACAATCGCAACATTCTCCTCGACACACCTCTATCTCAGAATAGAAAAAAACATACAAATCTTGTTTTAGACAATCACATACTTTCGGCAGCATTGAGTTGGTTGCTCCAGTATTGATTAAAGTCAAACCTGCTTTAACCAATGTTTGAGAGATGGCATTATTAACGATGTAGGCAACAACCCTTATGTTCCATTAAATCCACTTCCGCAGGTCTTGCTGCAACCCACATCCTACCACAAAACAGATGGAGGTTTTTGGTGGGGTTTGCTTGAAATGTCCTTCAGGATGAAGACAGCCCAATGATGGTCCCTTCGGATATCCAGGGGGGGGGGGGGGGGGGAGGATACATTTGAGCTAATGTACAGGTTGCATTGATGAGTTATGTAGGGGTGTCTATGGCAAAATAAAGTGCGGAGTGATGTAATGGAATGAGTCGTTTTAAGGTAGACTGGCAAGCGAGGCGGTGGATGGTGTCACAATCATATACCGTATGGGCAGGATGGTGGCATTAACCATACAGCGTTCGTACGGAGTCTGTTTCTGCATAGGAGGCCTGTTTTGGTCGTAATCTTACTTGTCTAGATATTTAAAGTTGTCAACTTGCTAAATAGGCTGCGCATCGAGAGCTCTCCTATGTATAGAATGCGAGGTAAGTTTGGGGCATCCGGAGAACGGACGCAGCCAACCGATTCGCACGGTTGGCTATGTACGGTGCGAAAGAAATTCAACAAATACAAAATAACATAACTTGAAGGAATTGCTGCCATCATACACACGGTCACTATTATTGTCATCATTATTGGCAACATTATTATCATTGTTAACCGCGCAAACTACAGCACCACTGGCAGAATCAACATCGTTATCCCTAACATCACCCACGCAAACTAGGAAGTACTCCCGCGCCTCCGATTAGCACGGTTGGCGATGTACGGTACGAAAAAAGTTCAATATACTGCACATATGAATCCAAACTGTGACGCATTCATTTTGAACCGCATTCTTTTGGACTTTTCCTACTTGAGGCTGAAAGCGTGAAAGAGTGATCGAAATAGATACAGCAGATGATGTCTCCACATATCTTTCTCTCAACGTAAAATATTTATGAAGGTTGATTTTTTTGTTTTCGGGGCCGTGCATAAATTACGTCACGCATCGGGGGGATGTTAGACATTTGTGACGATGTGTGACGAGGGGGAGGGGTTTGAGAAATGTGACGTCACGTCAAAATGCGCAACTTTAAATAAATATAGACAACACGTTCTACTTAATTAAATATACGTTTTGATAAATGTTTTCTCCTACAACATCAGAGTGCAGCGCCACATTAAATACGCACTACAATGACAATAGGTTAAAGCGATTTGAAGCATGTTTTTTTGGGGGGGGGGAGGGACAGAGCTTTATGACGTCATATTTGAGGGGGGGGGGGTCTGACTTTTTGTGACGCCGTGTGACGAGGTGGGGTGGGGGGGGTAAAAAATCGTCCAAAATCGCGTGACGTCATTTATGGACGGCCCCAAGGACTCTGGGATATGGATCCCTTAGTGCGACGTTAATGAATTAAGCCTGGTCTGCCGGTAGCAGGGTGCAGGGGCGGGGTACACTGACTCATGACGATGATCCCGTATGAACGAAATAAGAATTTAAAGTTGTGCTGCTTATTGGGGACATACCCTCTAAATTAAATGAGTTAAAAATATCGGGCAGATTGATCAACAACGCCCCTGGCGTGCGGACCGACATCATCACGCGTTTGCCTTCATCTGGAGGCTTGACACCCAACTTTGTGTTCTCATCAGCGTCTCTTGTAACACAGCGTTTATATTATCAGCGCGCCTATTTCCGTGGATCGACGCAAGTGGGAAAGCGTTGCGCAATCTCCATGCGTAAGCGTGGTTTTTCCACACTTGACATTTGTACGAGCAATACTGATTGCGTTTAGCGTTGCTGTTAGCGATATTTATTATTCCAAATGAATATGGTATGAAGGACGAGGCACCAGGCTAAAGATGTTAATGTATCCAGCAGAAGTTTAGCTCACCACTGACAGCCCGAATGGCCACGTTTTTGACATTTTACGGTCACTGCAGAGCAGCGAAGCAGCATTCTTGTAAGTAGATTTCGAATAATTCACAATTTGATTATTTGTCGATTTGTGGGTGGAGCGGTGTGGTTTGAGCACACTTCCGTGGTTGCTGGCTTGTTATTGCTCCACAAAAAGAGACAAAGATCTCCCGTAACAGACTGTTGGGGCAGCTGCTCTTAGCAAGAACCCACGAAGCCCGGCACGGCAGTGGCGATCTTTTTTTTTACACACACTCCACCAGGTACTCATTTGAGGCTAAGTGGGCCTAGGGGAGGCCCGGGACCGGTTCAGATAATTGTCATTGGTGTTTGGCCCGCGAGCGGGAATCGAACTTGGGTCGCCGGGTTCGTAGCGCAGCGTAGCGCCAACCGCAACACTGCCACTCCCCACACTGCCCCCACACACTCACCACACACACACACTCACCACACACTCACCACACACACTGCCCCCACACACTCACCACACACGTGCACACCGGGCCAGGTGGCCACACCTAACAAGACTTCAACTCGGGAAGGGCCCCAGCGAGAGAGCCATCGAATCCGGCCAACGGGCAGGGTGAGTTGCTTCTTGCCAACATTATAAATCGTCTACGGCCACGAAAAATGACTGCGTTCAAAAATACGTGAAATGGTTTCAAAAGCTGCAGTTTACTAACGGCTTGCTTTTTTATGTCAAGTCGCGCCTAAACCACACCGCGATTTTACTCTAACGCAAATGATTTTTATTTGTGTAAACAAACTTACAAATATATATTTTAAAAATTACGTGTTAATAGTGCTTCAATATATACAGTTCATTTTTTTTTTAAAAAGGTGGGTTCTGGCTCAAATGAGCGTTGATGCAGTGCGTTCATCCGTTTACAGCCCTGAGCCAGTGATGGGAATTCCCATCGGGCGAGTCTCGCCATCGGGCAAACCATTCTTGTGACTTCCCCACGAAGTGGTACACTATTTTATCGACCGCGGAGGGATGCTTGGCTGAGCCAACCCACGACCAGCATTTGATCTCGCAACCGTTAACTTGCTGCGTTCGCTCTTCCGCTGAGCCGCCTGGCCGAATTGGATTGTGCGATTACATTGAATTCGTACGTGTGTGGGTTCACAGTTGTATAGCCAATGTCATCTTCCAAGTAGAGTCGCCTCCTCGTGTTGTCACAAGTTTCTGCCGGGAGGGATAGTCTGCGCTTTAAGTTAAAGTGCTGCTGCACCATGGATCGTGTTAGTACGACGTGTTAGTGTCACTGCTGGGTGGATTACTCTGTGCTTCAAGTTAGAGTGCTGCTGCACCATGGATCGTGTTAGTACGACGTGTTAGTGTCACTGCTGAGTGGGTTACTCTGTGCTTTAAGTTAGTGTGTTGCTGCACCATGGATCGTGTTAGTACGACGTGTTAGTGTCACTAATGGGTAGGTTACTCTGTGCTTTAAGTTAAAGTGCTTCTACACCATGGATCGTGTTAGTACGACGTGTTAGTGTCACTGCCGGGTGGAGTGCTCTTGCGCTTCAAGTTAGAGTGTTGCTGCACCATGGATCGTGTTAGTACGACGTGTTAGTGTCACTGCTGGGTGGAGTACTCTGTGCTTCAAGTTAGAGTGTTGCTGCACCATGGATCGCGTGTGATCGTTTTATTCCCACTACCCCTGCTCATTGTTCTGAGTTATTTTTTAAAGCTGAATGGATCCTGGAAAGTGGACGCGTATTGTAAATATTGGCAGATCTTGGTGTGCTTGAGGAGCGAATTCACATCGCAACGCAAGCTTTGCAATCCACGCAGTCGTGGGGTCACTGAATACTTGAGCCGTGTGGCTGCTGCTACTGCTGATGTAGATGCAGAGCAACACGACTACAATGTCACGTTCAGGTAGTGATGGGGGTTGGGGTAGTGATAGGGGTAGTGATAGGGGTTGGGGTAGTGATAGGGGTTGGGATAGTGATAGGGGTAGTGATAGGGGTTGGGGTAGTGATAGGGGT